AATGTTGTAAAGCTCAACAATTTTGGAAGATGATATATTGTGGAATGAAACAAATGTTAAAAGTTGAATTATCTTTCTAGGCAGCTGTTTTTCTATCAAATATTACTAAGCTTTATATTCCCATAAGTAAGGTATGCTAGGCTCATTCTGAATATGTTTACAGTGGCTAGGATGCTTTATGCATTTTATTATAAAACATAAAAAAGGATGGCTAACTATATTGTGCTCTCATATTTGAAGAACAAGTCTAATGGAGAATTTAATTCAACTTCTAAACTATGGATTATAATTGTTCATATGGCCTGTATTACATCTGAAGTTAGATATTTTAATATATCAATTCCTGTTTGATTCATTAAATAAGCATTCTTAGTTGGGGTGGAAATCTTTGCTGATCCTTAATTCTGATTTATAATTCATATTATAGCAGCTACTGTTTTAATGAATATCAATTTGATTTCAATAATGTTCTGAAGTCTTCGATTGATAAAAGATTTTTCAATACGCAGCGCTAATTTACGATACATTGAATTTTTTCTTTTTATATTGCTCATAAGTCTCTTTTTTCCTTCCTGTTTTTTTCCCTTCTTTTCTTCTTGATTCCATGCCTTTTAAATAAATAAATGAAAAAAAGAAATAAAAAGAGAATGGCAGAGTGCAAAGACAAAGAGGATAATATCTCCTGGGGGATGATAACGTCCTCCAGCAAAAACATCAAATGAAGAGGGAAAACACTCTCTGTCTACCAAACACTGAATTCTATTCAGATCAGAGTTCAGAGGGACTGGGATGGAGTTTTCTGCCAGATTGTTTCAGATTCCTCCATTTTGTTGAAGGTTTCACTAGCTTCCATGTGAACACTTGTCTCTAACATCTGTATGCTGTTTATTTGTAAGACTTTTGATGACATACATCAGGACTTTTCAATCAATGGTACGGGTACCACCTGTGGTACATTGGCACCTGGCAGGTGGTACGCGATCATCCTAGAAAAGTGGTAGCGGGAGGGGAATAAGCTGAACCGGTGATAGCACCACACAAGCCTGAGCGAGAGACGGCTGGAGCTGCAGGGCTGTCAGGGCTCAACAGAAGCACCAGGATCAGTGCTTCTTCAGGGCTGTCAGGGCTCAGTGGAAGCGCCAGGATCAGCGCCAAGCTCCAGCTGTAGCTCAGCACTGATCCTGGTGCTTCTGCTGAGCCCTGAAGTAGCATCAATCAGCTGGAAAGCAGCACTGATCCTGGCGCTTCTGCTGAGCCAAGAAGAAGCACCAATCACCTGGAATGTTGCAGCATCTCCAGGGTCTTGTGATTTACATTCAGATGCTTGGCAACTGATTCATATTTATGATGGTCACAGTGTCCCAGGGTCATGTGAAGTGACCAAAACCTGCTGCAACCACCCAGTAGATGGGGGGAATAAAAATCAAACACCCGCCACCCCACCTCCACTGCCAATCCTCAACATAAATGCTCACAACAATGAAAACCTCGGACAGGAGGAAGAGCGCCGCCGGGTGGGCAGGCAGGTGTCTTGCTTGGCTGTGGCTTGGGGAGCACTTTTTTCAGTGCCATTGTAACTTCAAACAGTCACTAAGCAAACTGTTGTAAGTCGAGGACTACCTATACTTTATCACTTTTTTCCTTTTGGGGGGGGGGTCATCAAGATTTTGACACCTTGCTAGGCGATGGTGGTACTCGGATGTTGCAGCATGGTACAATGGGTGAAAAGGTTGAAAAGCCGTGACTTACAGCATACATATATTGAAACATCCATTAAAAAAACATTCCAACATTAAATCACAATCTATTGACGCACACAGTTAAAGTCTCTGAATGGTCTGTGTAAGAAAACAATGTTCACCAGTTTTCCTGAAGGACAGAAGGTGAGATCCAGCATGAATATTGGGGGCCAGCAGTTTCCAAGTAAAGGACATGCCAGTGAGAATGTCTGTTTCTCGGTCTCTGCCTGAATATAGAACTGGCCTTGGAAAAAGGCCATTAAAAGGAAAAACAGCAACTCAGCCCTAAGAAAATAGAAAGCACAAGAAAGAAATTTTTAAAAACCCTGCCCTCCTTGATTTTGTTTGGTATAAGACAGGGGTTCTCAACCTTGGCAACTTTAAGACTTGTGGACTTCAACTCCCAGAATTCCTCAGCCAGCAAAGCTGGCTAAGGAATTCTGGGAATTGAAGTCCACAAGTCTTAAAGTTGCCACGGTTGAGAACCCCTGGTATAAGATAAGGCAGACTGAATTTCTAAGTAGCTTTCAATGTTCTGTTGTCCTACAGTGTTCAAGAGCATTCCTAGAATCCAAGTTGCTTCTGTTTCTTGACCTGGTTTACCTCAAAGAGCTAACACGGCTTACTGGTCACAAGTAGGCATCCATTGTATCCTCCCCCAGCCCGATTCCTTTGGGATAGTCAATATTATCTGGAGAAGGTGGTCCCAGGAATGACAATACAGTACTCAAGCATTGTATGGTTTATGTGTTTTAAAGACATAAAATGGCAATAAAAAAAGAAACCTTCAACTTACTTGAGAGACACACCTCAGAATTTAAATTTGTATTATTTTATACACAGACAAATTAATCTGGAAGTGCGCATGGAAATGGACAGGATCTCTTCAGAAAGCTTTTTATGTAATTAAACTATCAGACCATGCTAGAAACGCATGCCATCAAATCCTAGGATTTCCTGCTCTTGGTCCAGTATTGAGGAATATGTGAAAGTTTGGCTATCCTTGGTAATTGGTATGGAATTTATCCTGTGTGGAAGAAACTTGGCAATTTTTGTAGGGCAGCACAAAGAAATGGTGGAAAATAAATATATATTGAGGTCCTTTGAAAAATTGGGTGCATGAGTATTCCATTTATTCAATTTATTTGATTAGGAAAAAATGGAAGAGGAGTAGGACTCAGTTTATATTGGTGCCTCTGTAATGAAGGAGAGAAATTTGTAATTTTAGTATTTTAGTGAATGTATAAAACTATGGGTTTCTGATTATTACTGCAATTTATATGGTTCTCAATTATTAAAAGGCTCTGAGCTGGTTATAGTATTAGATAGATAGATAGATAGATAGATAGATAGATAGATAGATAGATAGATAGATAATATATATAGAGAGAGAGACAGATATAGTGTGTATATATAGAGAGAGACAGATATAGTGTGATCTATGTCATTTGGGAAGAAGAGTATGTAAAGGAGTAGAAGAATAAAGAAAGAAGAATAGGAAATACAAACATATGGCCAGAATTAAATGAATATTTAAATGCCAGTTGGCAAAAGGTGAGTCTTGGGTCTGAAAATATGAATAAATCAGTAGGTTTTTTTCCGTATAGGACTACTAGTTTCATAAACGAAAATGATGCCTGCTTCATAATGTGTGAGGAAAGCATTGTTCTTTATTTTTCCCCATACTGAAAGGTGAGTGAATGCCATTAAGGTACATGACAAAATAGATGTATAGTTTGCTCACCATTAATGTGGGCAGGCAGTATCCTGCAGTGAAGTAAGACCTGTGTCCAGGTGAAAGGTTTCTAGTATAACAGGTTCAAAGACATTGCACAACTATTTTGTGTTTAATGCACTTTCTGGCATATGACAAATAATGGAAGATAAGGTGGGGAAAATTTTGTTTGAGATTTATCCTTTTCTTTGAAAGACTTCTGTGCCTAAAAATTAATATGCAACAGGCAACAATTCAACAGGTATGCTTCTTTTGTCATGGCATTGCTTTGACACTTAGCAATGTGTCAAAGATACGTGACCTGTTTATGTGAAAAATAGTTTTGTGTAAGCAGTGCCAAGTTTCCCTGTAAGAGGACTCATTCTCTTATTTCTTTCCTCTTGCATCATTTTGTTTATGTGAGGAAGAAGCTGATCTGAAATTGTTTGTAACACTAGGCAGTGTTGCTGTATAGATTTGTTTTCCTTTCAAGAATTAATCTGCTTTTTAAAAGACCAGATGCTCAGATCAATCCTGAATTTCTGCGTAAATGGAATATGTTCCTCATATAAGAATTTCACTGAAGTGTTTTAACTCATCAATTTATTAATATTAATTGTGTATTTATTGCTCTATTTTGCGTGAGGTGTGACAGTAGTTGCTGAATTGCTCAATCTATATTGATTAAAATGGTATTTAATAAATTTAAAAAAAATCACAATAAACTGGCTGGTGCTAAGTAACCATGCAGGGCTCATCCCTGCTCCCATAAATAGCTATTAAGATTTGCAACATATTTGTCTTACCTTCTCTTGCTTGCAGGTAGAAAATAGGCATAAAGCTCACTGCAGTCTTTCCAGTTCAGAGTAAATCTAACAGTTTGGATAGTAAGAACTAGAGCAAGAGTGATAAAAATTAATTCTGATTACTTTTATCGTTGATCATACTGGTTTGAGATGTTGGCATGCTGGCAGAATTTGGAGGTCCATAAGTTCTCCAGTTTGCTCCTGATCATAGTGCAGCATTGTTATGTCATGTGGGAGCCACCATGAAGGGGCAAAGAGATCATTGCATTCCAGTACAAGGAACATTGTTGTTTGTATACTGAAATTCATTTCATATACTTCACAGAGTAACTTAAGCAATAAATAAATGCGTAGTTTAAAGAATGGTCAACTTAAACATCAAACTTGGGGTGTAGAGAGACTGACAAATTTTAGGATGAAAGTAAATGTTAATGAAGAAGTGAAACTCCCAAGGAGCAGAACAGAAAGGTTTTGCAGATTATAAACTCTCATTTAACTGTGGCAACTCAGGCACCTCCTTTTTGCCAAGTCCCTGAATTGTAGCAATTGGAATATAATTGCTAATCAGCTTACTCTTCCACTGCATTTTGCTGCTTGAACTTGTTTCTTGCAAACTCCTTATCTTACTTTTCTTGCAAACTGCAAACCATCTCAGATGACAGCTGGATCACAGAATGTAAGCTTGATGTGAGGCCAGAATGTTTAATTGCTTGTACCTTGACCTTTTCTTTTTGTTTGCAGATCCTGTACTTCAGGTGCCACTGCACATGGAAGAGTAAGTCCCCTTTCTTTTCACTCTACTTTTTCAGGATCTACAGCTCCTATTGCACTGGAAAACAACAACTAACACAACTCCAAGCTTTTAAAATGAAAGCACTTCTACACTACAAACTTTGTAGGCTAGGTCAAAATGGTTGGTTATATGAGCAGTACAGTCATTTGTTTCTTCCAGAAGGATGCCTAGGGATTTCTTCTTCTTCTGAAATCTCTTACACAAACCTCTCAGTTTTAGTCAGGAGGGGGGAGCATTGTGGGGTGTAGCAGGAAGGAAAACCTCATTTTCTGCCCTTAAAAATGAAGCCAAGAGGGAAAGGGTTAATAATATCGCTTCATTACAAAAAGCCTAGTTTAAGGCTTCTTCCTGCTCTGTGCAGCAGCCCAGGCCTCATTCTTTAGCTCTGTTTTCTAAGAGGAAGTTTGAGAGCTGAGGAGAAAAAAAAATAGAAGAAAAGTACTAGAAATGTCAACAAACATGTAGTCAAGCAGGCTGGTGCCCTGCAAGAATGAACTAACTGACTAAGGTACTAGCTCAGTGGTTCTCAACCTTTTTAATGCCGCGTCCTCCCAACCGGTCGTAAGTCGAGGACTACTCAACCGGTCATAAGTTGAGGACTACTAAATTAGTGCAGCACCGTTTGCAGAATGGGACTTTTGGTGGGCTCAGCAGGGCAGAGACAGCCTGGACAATTCCTATTGGCTTTTGAAAGCCAATAGAATTAGACTCTATTCAAGAGAGTCTATTCTATTGGCTTTCAAAAGCCAATAGAATAAAAGGGAGTAGCACAGCTAAGGAAAAGGAGGAAAAAATGGCAGACTGCGTTGTTTGGCGACCCCCGTGAAAGGGTCGTTCGACCCCAAATGGGGTCCCGACCCACAGGTTGAGAACCACTGTACTAGCTGCAGGCAAGAGGCCACATGTCAGCCAAAACATAAGTCCAAGGAAAGGAGGACCATTGGAGCCATTCCAGTTGACCGGGCCAAACTACAGCAAAGGCCTTAGGGGCAAATTGAGAGGAAATTCCGCCAGACATGGCCAACATATGAACAGCAACACTGGCACTGAGCTTACCTACCAAGCAGTAGGACTTAACATCTCTTTCCAGTAAACTAGGCAAAGGTGTATCACAGTAACCTGTATGCAGATAGCAGTGACTAATGTCACACTGAGGCTTCACTGCCTGTGGGAATGCATTTTGCCATTCACTTTGACGAGAACATACACAGGTTTTTGAAGCAAATTCTGTCTCTGGGATTCCACCAACAGAGAGGAAAGAAAAATGTGTATATATTAGCGGCAGACCCTCGAGTTCCAGAAGACTGTGAGGGAGATCCTAGTGTCAAGGAGGACGAGTCTCAGGCAAAATTATAGTGGAAGATGGTTTGAGGTACTAGGTCCTTCTCCTAATCCAGGACCAAATTACCATCATATTTCACCTAAATGCAAGTAGTTATATTAATGATTCTCAGCCAATCTGGTGCAGGGAATGCCAATCGGACATCGAGTGATGACATGCCAACCTGGTGGTGTGGGGAACTCACATCTCAAACAAGTTGGTGCATTCCCTCAAAGGTACACACTGCTGCTTAATCTACTGGAACTGAGGACAGTAAGGCTGGTTCTAAGAGTATTGTCAGAGCAGATGAGAGTGTGACACCTGCTGGTGTACATGCAGCATGGTCTGTTTACACAGTCAGGACAGATTCAGATTAAGGGACCTTTGGAACATGTACAATCCCTAATAGAATTAACATAGGAGCACTCAAGACACTTCATGGAAAGCCCAGGCGTCCTGCCTCAAAACCTAGTTCTACATCCAGATGCAGGCTGGCTATCACCAAGTGCCTGGAAAGTGAATGAAAACTTCTGAGCTACAGCTTTCCAAGTCCTGTAGTAAAACTATAAAGACATGCAGCAATTCCCAAAATATACCAATATCAATTGACTGGACATGCTGTTGACTGGTGATGCAAATCATGACACCAATATAGGTTCTACCAAATGGCATTCAGGGCAGGACTACCAGCCATTGTGAGGACCTGGCTCCATTAGGCTTTTTGAGCTTCACTCTCTGGACAGGTAAGGGCCACTTACAGATCCCTTTCTTTTTCCAAGGTACAAGTGTCCTCTTATTTCCCGTGATTCACTCACTAATTCTTTTCAGGGCACCTGTCATGGTTTTCAAAACTTTAATATCTGTTCTGTTCAAATCAGTCACTTTTACCTGGACCCATTAGGTACCCGTTAATACTTTTACCTGGAAGACAATTATTCTGGTGCACCAAACTTTAGAGAGAAATGTGGAACAATTAGGAGCTGTCTTAGTAAAAGGTGATCTATGTATTCCGTCAAGATTATGCGGTACTAAGATCTTGACTCATGCCCAAAGTCAGCGCTAAATTCCATAAAGCCCAAGAGATAGTGCTCCCCAATTTCTGTCTGCCCCCCTTCCCCCATGACTCCGGCACAAACTAGTTATGCAGGACTTTCAGGAGGGGTCTAGGACAGTTTATCTTGGCCAACACGCCATGACCAACTTGCTGCAGGACATTCAACACTGTATTAATCATTTCATTTCGTTACTTTTATTATTGGTGACCACGTTTTTGTCGAAATTATTGTAACTCTTGTATTTCTGGATTGACTTTCTTTATTATTAGTGGTCATGGTTCTGGTGAAATTAATGTAACTTTTGTTATTTGTTGAATTGTCCTATGATAAGCTGTCCTGCAGCAAGTTGGCCATGATGAGTTGTCCCACTTCTTCTCAGAAGACACCTCAAATATACTTTAAAGGCTGGGAAGATCAATAACCTACTTGTCTCCTACAAAACAGGAAATCTGGTGAATTCTATGATCTGTCAGCAACAGGAGGGTTAGAGAATGTAATGTTCCTGTACAGTATGTTTCAACTTTGGCAACTTTAAGATGTGTAGACTTCGACTCCCAGAATTCCCCAGCCAGCATTCTGTGTGTTGCTTGTGCAGTGCATGTAAAAAGGGGCAGGGTTTTATGGGGGCTGTGGCTGCCATCTTCACTTTTTAGACATCCTCTAAATATCCCTAATAGTTTTCTATGGTACAGTATCTCAAAGAAGCTTGTGGCTTAAATGGCTTCTAAAAATCAAAATGTCAACCCAACATTAAATTAAAGTATGTATTGAAAGGCATTTATTTTAATACAGGGGTCTTCAGACTTGGCCCTTTTATGACTTGTGGACTTCAACTCCCAGAATTCCTCAGCCAGGGTGCACGCTGGCTGAGGAATTCTGGGAGTTGAAGTCCACAAATCATAAAAGGGCTAAGTTTGAAGACCCCTGTTTTAATATGTACTTAACATGTCAAATTTTATTTTACAAATCACAGCTTTATTCTTGACTGTGAAGAATATGGTATTTGCTTCAAAAGAGGCATAGTGGTTCGCAAGCTAACAAATACATTGATTTTCAGCAGAAGTAGGCAAGGAAACTCTGGTTGCAAGACAAGTGGCTGCTTGAGCTTGTATTTCAGCAACATCTGCCCAACCTGTTCCCTGCTTTCCCAGAACAGCTAATTAGAAATTATTACTAATATAAACCCATACAATTAATTTTCAAATTGAAAATAATTTGAAATCAAGTAATCTGAAAGATTACTACCACAGTCCGAATTCAGAGGCTGGTGGTATGCAAAACCAGGGGTTTAAATGACTGTGCTTACTTAAAAGCACATACAGGTAGTCCTTGATTTACAACAGTTCATTTAGTGACCATTCAAAGTTACAACAGCACTGAAAAAGTGACTTATGACCACTTTCCACACTTAACGACTGTTGCAGTGTCCTCATAGTCATGTGATCAAAATTTGGCTGCTTGGCAACTGGCATGTATTTATGACCACTGCTGTGTCCTGGGATCACGTGATCACTCTTGCGACCTTCTAACAAGCAAAGTCAATGGGGAAGCCACATTCACTTAACAACCGTACTACTAATTTAACAACTGCAGTGATTCACTTAACAACTGTGGCAGGAATGGTCATAAAATGTGACAAATTCACTTAACAAATGTCTTACCTGGCAACAAAAATTTTGGGCTCAATTGTGGTCGTAAGTCAAGGACTACCTATATTTGGCTTTAAAAAAAACCACACACAAACATCTGTTTTGTAATATAGCCATCCTCACAAGAAAACGTATAGTGACCAAAATTTTGATGCCTCTTCTTTTCACAAGTGTGATATTGTAATTGCTGTTTTCATCATTTCTTCAGTCCTAGGCCAGCATTTCTTCCTGATCCTAATGATGGAAGTCTCTACACTCTTGGTGGCAAGAATAATGAAGGCTTAACTGTACGTATAATTTGATCACAAAGTAATTATTTTGCTCTCACTGAATGAGAACTGCAGCTTTTTCAGACGATCAAAGCACGTTGATCTAGCTTGCCTTGCTTCTTAAGGGAGATCTCTTTTGACAATCGATGTAAAATTCTGATTTTATAAGAAATAATACTAGACAAGAAACCTACATATAGTAACTTCCATTATATTTTTTTACCCCAAACAAAAAATGTTTTTTTACTTTCCCACTTTATATATAATGAACCCTCACTTGACTAACATTTGGAGTTATTTTTAAGAAAAATTAGAAGCTGTAAAACTTCTGCAGAGTGGTTTATCTCCAAAGATAAAAATTCATTTCCCAGAGAGCGGTTCTACATTAACAATTGTTGCGAAAGCGCCCACGTGTCCACGTTATATAAGGTTTAGAGGCCTGTACTGGTAGTCCCCAACTTGTGACCATAGTTTGGAACAGAATCACTCATTGCTAAGCAAAGTGCTGTTAAATGAGTTGTGCCTGCTTTTATGATCTTTTTTTGCCACAGTTGTTAACTGAGTCATGGGGTCATTAAGCAAATCTGACTGTGCCCAGTTGGAAAAATCATAAATGGCGATCACATTGAACCCAGGATGCTGCCAGTTGCCAAGGCACCCAAATTTCAATCGTGACCTTGGAGATTTTGCAACAATCATTAAGTGTGAGGGCCGGATATGGGTCAGTTTTTTTCATTGCCCTTGTAGCTTCGAACAGTCCTCATAAGTCAAGAACTATAGTATGAGTTAGCAAAATGTCTTACTATCTTAAAACATTGGGCAATTGCAAAGCAAGCAATTGGTTGGAAGAAGAGCAGAAAGAATGCACAGATGATGGAATACAAGGTCTTCACTGCAGCTTGACTAACATGGGTGCATAAATTTCACTAACAAGATTGTTTTTGGCGATAAACAATTCCCTCTGCTGTGATTATTAAGTTGTGGCTGCTCTCTTGGAGTAAGATTGTCAAGCCAAAACCAAACCACATTATGGCTTAGGAATATATATGGTCTAGGTTTCTTACTAAAAGTTTTCAGATATACTTGTTTGAAAAATACTTTAAGAGACACTGCAATGTGGATGTATGATATTTATGCAACCTAGATAGGCCTGGTGGTCACGATAGGAAATCCTAAACATTTTTTTTTACACTGGACATATATATTCTTCCTAAATTTATAGTTGTTTCTGTCCAATCAGCAAACCAGATCCCCAGTACTGAAGTTGTAAATTTCTCTACAGGTTCTGAGGTACTGGTTTTCTCCCGATAAAACTTTTGCATTTACCAAAAAGGTTGTACAAATTAGATAATTGTCTTAGAAGCTTGTTATCTGTTGGCGCCAACTTTAGGTTTATAATTCCAGGAATGGCACGTGGTGATGCTAACATGTCTGGCTGGGCAGGTTGCTTCTTTGGAAGCAGGGAAAACTGACTTCAAAATGTTCATTGTTGTCTTGAGGAAAAGGATTTTGGCTTTGTAATAAGCCTAATAAACACTTTAGTTTATTTTTCAATTACATGTACAATATTGAAAGAAATTAATTGGACTTGGGAGCATCTTTTGATGAGTCTAGAAGAGAGCCAGGCAATTAATTATAGTCTCAGGATCAGCAAGCAAGCATCAAAAAGTCCACCCTATTCCAGGAATAGATGGATGCAATAACTACATTGGTTCCACGATTAATTTTAGACCATAGTGCCTGTCTCTTTCTTTGCAAAGTGTGTAAGGGTTAAATAGGACTGATGCAGCTTTATGATGAAATAGAGATTAAATCTGGCTTTCTACGAATTGTTTTTTTCTTCCTGAAACTGTTGACTTCCTCTTACAATTTTGGGGAAAAAATGTATTTCCTCTCAAATTGTCCTAAAGGCACAGTGGTAACATTGTCTTTAGTTAGTTAGAGCAATCTCTTTTGGATCTAAAATTAAAGAAGATAGCAGCTGATGGGGAAAAATGTTTCTTTCAGTATTGAATGGGAATTGCAAAACATCTGAAAAGCAGCAAGTTGGAGAAGGCTGAAATAGGCAGCAAGAAACGAAGAAATAGGTTTTCCCAATATAAGTCACCCTTTATCCGTCTTCTGTATAGGTGACAATCTTTTCTTAATACTTTGTTAGCACTTGCAGCCTTTTGAACAGACATGTCAAACACAAGGCCCGGGGGCCGGATGCGGCCCGCAAAGTGGTTTCATGTGTCCCGCAAAGCCACCCTGGAAATAGTGAGGGAACGGCCCCCTCTACCTTGGCCCCGGCCCAGGCCAGCCGGGAGTGTACAATTTTGTGGTGGCCATCTATGCTGAAATGCATTCAGTCTTAGCTCCACAAAGCCATCTGGAAACAGCAAGGAACCAGCCCCTGTCGCGTCGGCCCCTCCCCCTGGGTGCATGCTGGGGAAGTGTCACCCTTTGTGAGGAATGAAGAAATGGACCATGCCTTGGCACTTGTCCCAGTCCCACCCCCTTCTGCCAGAGACTCTCAGATCTGTCCCACTCTGCCCCAGCCCCCACAGGCACCCTTGACACGAATGATGTAGAGCTGGCCATGCCCACTCAGTAGGCCACACCCACTCCATCCACGCCCACCCAGTAGGCCGCACCCACCCTGACCACACACCCCCAGGGCAACCGCAATGCTGATGCGGCCCTCAATGAAATTGAGTTTGACACCTCTGCTTTAGAATGTTAAGAAGGCGTTACTAAATCTTTGAAGTACACTGAGGTCCTGAAGGTGGTTATTATGCTAGACTTTTCATCTTCCCACAAGAATGTAGAAATGATACTGTGTTTAGAAATCATTCTAAAATGCACTTTACTCAAGTGGTTTAGTATGTTCTCACCAATTTCTTGGGAAGATTGAGATCTGTTTCATAGTATATTGTACTACTTCAGTACAGGAAACATTTTTTTTTTCCTGCCCACAAACCTGAAATATGAAACGTGAAGTACTTTTTGTGATCTTGAACCTTTTGACCATGCCTTTTTGTTTTTTTTATTTTTTTAATGTTTAATGTAGAACAGCTCTCTCTAGCCGTGTGCCCTCCAGATGTGTTGGGATTACAAATCCTAGAATGCCCAGTTGGCATGGCTACTGGCAAAGACTCTGCAATCAGAGGGTAGTATGGGTGTGAGAATAGGGGTGATACCGATATACCACAGTGCCTCTATTTTTATCTCTAGAATGTAGAAATTGTAGATTGCTTTTTACTTTATAGATATTAAAATACTACATTATTTTACCCCTGCTATGACCGGCCTGCTTGAGTTTAGATACATCTTTATAGCGGGTCTATGTCATATGTGTGTTGCAGTTATGTGATACACAGGTGTGAGGATAAGGTAGGTGTTGCAAACAGGTATCTGGTGTGTATCACATAAACTGGATGAATGCACTGTATTGTATGTTCTTCCAAATGATCGCAGTCCTGGGCACCATGTGGAACTTTATGTTCTGTGCTAAGCTTTGGTAGCAAGATAATTAGTCAGTGCTGAAAGTGGGCACTTCAGCTTTCACTGCTCACATTGGAGTTATTGCATTTCTAAAGATATCCAAAGCAGGAGCATCGGCTATTGATTGGGAAGATCAAGATCAGCTCATCGAGTCATTTTGGACTGGTCCTCAATTCTTAGCTTCTCAAGGTTTAAAACACGGAGGATTGTACATGCTACCCTGAACTCCTTTGAGGAAGTTCAAAACTTAAGTATACATTTAAAAGACAGTTTGCTTTTCTTTTTAGATAAATAATTACACTGGAGAAGACAGTGTCTTTTTTTGTTTTGTTTGGGAAGGTTGATTTATGATGTATTTCTCTTTTGCTATGCACGCCAATGTGTTCCATTTTAGTGTCTTCTGTGATCATACCTTGCAGGGTTTTAGAGCAAATAGACACCATCTTCCTCCACTCTTAAAAGAAATGTGCATTATAGAGCAGTAGCACTTGTTTCTTTTTCCTGGACTTGCTTCTCAAAATAAAAACCCAAAATACTCCCTGGGGAATGTGAACAAAGTTCCAATCGATAGTAAAATAAGGGAGATAAACCGTATATTTAGCAAAAATTATTTAGCAAGCGTAAATAGGCCAAAAAGCAAGACTTACAGATACTTCTTCTCTGGAAAAGTAGCACTGACCCAAAATCAATACTGCAGAGTTACTGCTGATATAAATCTTTGTCGTTTTGTGTGACGCAAGGCAAATGCAGATTGCAGATATTGCTAATTGGTGTTGACGTACATGGAACGACTAGAATCTAGAAATCCTCTTCAATAACAGCCTGCTTTGAAATGGGATTCATCAGTTGTCTTTACCTTGCAGTCCTCGCTAAATGTTTGATATGAAGTGAAGATGGCTAATATGAATATTTATATTCTAGAAACTGCCATTCACCATCCCAGAGCTTGTCCAGGCTTCCCCTTGCCGCAGTTCCGATGGAATTCTATACATGGGTAATGTTCCATTTCCTTCTGAAAAATAACATTTGCATGGATTTTATTGCGTTTCCATGTGAGTATAAAACAACAGGGTGTGTGCCTCCAAAATACTTGCATGGAATTTTTTTTCCATTATAGCCCTCGGATATGTTCTCATGTTTAAATCTAATTTCTAATGCAACAACCCAAAGATTACTTTGTCATTTTGATGCAATAAAGGTTAATTTAGAAATCCTTTGTGTACTGAGTACAATGTTATGTTTGACAGACTACCAAGAACTGTCTCCATATTGCAGTTATGTAGGGTTATTCTTTGCTTGTTTGACTTTGGGTTTTTTGTTTGTTTTGGGATTACCTGAATTTGACGTAATCTTCAGCAGTTAATTCACTGGCTGGATTTTTGCCAATGCTGTGAGCTTCTGTTATTTTGTGTTCATAGAAGACTCAGATGATAAAGTATATATCTCTCAGTGGCTAGTAGGCAGGAAACTGATTCTGAAAATACAGATAGTCTTCAGTTTACAACCACGACTGAAACTGGAACTTCCATTGATAAGCAAGGCTAGCATTACATTGAGTCATGCTCAGTTTTTTATTATTTTATTTATTGAATTTATATTTATGAACTTTTTGCCATGGTTATTAAGTGAATCACCTCTTTTGTTAAGTGAGTTACAAAGTCATTAAGTGACTTCAGCTTCCCCTATTGACTTTGCTAATAGGAAGTTGGCTAGGAAAGTCACCAATAGAAATCGCTTGACCCCAGGGCACTGCAGCCATCATAAATACATATTGGTTGCCAAGAATATGAATTCTTATTACCTGAATAGGGGAATGCTGGTCATAAGTAATTTCTTCAGCACCAACGTAAGTTTAAATGGTCACTAAACAAATGGTCGTAAATTGAGAACTAACTGCACTACTTCCCTTCCAACTTAATTATTCTCATGTTGATGTTTACTATTAGGGAAGAAGCAGGACAGCTGGTATGTAGTAGACCTTGCAACAGGAGAAAAACAGCAGACTTTAACCTCTTCATTTGCTGAAAGCTTGTGCCCATCTACCTCACTGCTGTATCTTGGTCGAACAGGTAAGAAGGTTTTGAAAACCAAGCCATTCGAAAGGGATATGCTTCTACTGAAGTCCTTTATTTAAGCTGCCATCCTGGAGTCCCTAGGACAGTGGTTCTCAACCTTTTTAATGCCACAACCCCCAACTGGTCATAAGTCGAGGACTACTCAACCAGTCGTAAGTCAAGGACTATTCAACTGGTGCAGCACCGTTTGCAGAATGGGACTTTTGGCGGGCTCAGCAGGGCAGAGACAGCCTGGACAATTCCTATTGGCTTTTGAAAGCCAATAGAATTAGACTCTATTCAAGAGCGTCTATTCTATTGGCTTTCAAAAGCCAATAGAATAAAAGGGAGTAGCACAGCTAAGGAAAAGGGGGAAAAAATGGCGGACTGCATTGTTTGGCGACCCCCGTGAAATGGTCGTTCGACCCCAAATGGGGTCCCGACCCACAGGTTGAGAACCACTGCCCTAGGAGGACATCTATCCTGATTCCTCAGAGATCAGAGTGAACATTCTTGCACCTCAGCCTCTGAGATGGCTTTGTGCCACTGTTATACTAATACTTCTGGGTCAGGAGCACCGAAGTGCTTTCGCAGTGAAAGGATTTGCTAGTGACATCATAGTTGCCTGGGGGATGCCCCGTTGGTGGCTCCTTTCACAACCCCGTTGCCCACCGAAGTGATACCCATTTATCTACTTGTGGTCGCTTGCTTTCCAACTGCTGGGTTGGCAGGAGCTGCAGCATGTGACGGGAGCTCACCCTGCCCCGTGGCAGCAACAGGTCTCAAACGTGATCCTGCCCACCGTCAGCCTAGCGTTCTAACCTTGTGAGCCACTGCAGTCCTTTGTGTCACTGTTGAAAAAGCTAAAATGAGGCTCGCCATTCTGCAGGATTCAAGAGACTTCCACAGGTAATCCATGCCAGCACAAGAGTTAGCTTATGAGTGTTCCCTTCGTGTAGTGAGTGGGGCTGTGTGTGTGTGTGTGTGTGTGTGTGTGTGTGTGTGTGTGTACATGCAGTGTGTCTTAGATCACGTGTGGAGGAAAAGGGAACAACATTTCTTCAGTCCTGCTCATTGCTGGAATATTTCATGCTCATAGATAGGGTTGCTTTATAAAAATGAAGGCCTTATACCAGGGGTAGGCAACCTTGGCTCTTTTATGACTTGTGGACTTCAACTCCCAGAATTCCTGAGCCAGCATGGCTCAGGAATTCTGGGAGTTGAAGTCCACAAGTCATAAAAGACCCCTGCCTTATACCAAGAGATCAGATTATCCTCCCACTCACAATGAGATAGTGCTGCTTGCTGATATTCAGTGAAGTATGCTGAGGCTTTGTCTAATGAGAAAACTGCTTAGTAATATCTGATTCTGTAAAGATCGCAACAGTTCTGCTGGATTAGACTCAAATCTTTTTTTCTCCCACAACGGCCAACCAGAGGCTGGTAAGAATTTCCCAGAATTCCACAGTACACTTTTGCTCTGCATGCTAGAAGAAAGAGACTTGAAGCCATGGCCATTCTTTTCTCCTTCACAAAACGTTGTTTTCCTTTCGACAGAGTACACCATCACCATGTACGACACCAAGAGTAAGGAACTCCGCTGGAATGCCACCTACTTCAATTACGCAGCAACATTGCCTGATGAAGACGCCCAATATAGTAAGAATATTAATCCTTCTGCACTTGCAGGCTGCGGCAATAAGACTGCTTGTTTTGCCTAATGATGAAGACGTGTCGGTTTTTATCTGTGCCCGTTCCAGAAATGTCTCACTTTGCATCTAATGGAGATGGACTAGTGGTGACCGTGGACAGTGAGTCGGGTGATGTCTTGTGGATCCAGAATTACGGCTCCCCTGTTGTAGCTTTTTACATCTGGCAGCGGGAAGGCTTATGGAAAGTGATGCACACCAACGTGGGAGTAGAAACCCTGCGCTACTTGACGTTCATGTCCGGTGAAGTTGGGCGCATCACTAAGTGGAAATATCCATTTCCCAAAGAAACGGAGGCCAAAAGCAAACTAATGTGAGTGTAAGAGGCTTTTTCTCCCAATCATGGCCTGTTTGGTGGTTTCTCAGAAATTGTGCATTTAGTGTCATCAGATCAGCTCAGTCATTCTCTTGCAGGGATTCAGTAATCAATCTGATTCGGTATGGGATTCAAATACGGTCTCCCTTTACAGGTAGTCCTTGACTTACAACAGTTCATTTAGTGACCGTTCAAATTACAAGGACAGTGAAAAAAAGTGACTTATGTCCGTTTTTCACACTTTCAACTGTTGCAGCCTACCCATGGTTACGTGATCAAAATTGGGATGCTTGGCATGAATTACGACGGCTGCAGTGTCGCTGGGTCACGCGATCCCCCCCCTTTTTTTTGTAAAAATTTTTTTATTTTCAATTTTACATTACATTCATAAAAATTACTTCAGATAAAGAGTAAAATAAATTTATACACACAACTTTTGGTATTGCTCACCCACTTCCTCCCAAACCGCATCCACCTTCTAACCTCTTCTCTCACTTCCCTCTTTCCCTCTTCTTCTTCACTCTCCCCCTCTCCTCCTTCTCAACCTTCCTACTTGCTTCTCCCCTTCCTCCTATCTTCTCACTATCCAGGGGAAATGCCCGAACAATTCCTCCCTCCAAATTAAAACATCAATATTATGTACAATAAAACTATTTCTACTTATCTGAACTATTTAACCTCCAACCCATCCTCCCTCCACCCCCCACCCCCACCCCCTCCCTCCCGACTTCCCAGAGCCAAGTACAGGGTTAAACAAACATATTAAACATAATCTATTTAAGTTTACTAACTATACAATAACCAAAATCATATTAACCCTTAACTCTCTTCAAACTTTAACATAATTTTATAAACGAATCCATTACTCATAAAATAAATGAAACTTTGTAGTTCCATATTTCTTCTGAACATATTCTATCCATCTTCTCCACACAATAACATATCTCTCTTGTGAATGGTCCTTTAAATAAGCAGAAATTTTAGCCATTTCTGCTAAATTAGAAACCTTAAATACCCATTCTTCTAAAGAAGGCAGAGAATCTTTCTTCCAATATTGACCCACCAGTAATCTTGCTGCTGTTATTAAATTCAACATTAAAATAGTTTCTTTAGCATCAGGTCATGCGATCCCTTTTTGTGACCTCTGACAAGCACAGCCCGTGGGGAAGCTGGATACACTTAACAACTGTGTTATTAACAGTGGCAGTGATTCGCTTAACAACTGTAGCAAGAAAGGTCATAACATGGGGCAAAACTCACTTAACGGCTGTTTCACTTAACAATGGAAATTTTGTGCTCAGTTGTGGTCATAAGTTGAGAACTACTGTATTTGCCAACACCCTGTTTCGTTTTACTTTATGGGTGACGGAGGAAGAGCAATTTGCGTTAAAAAGAATTCAAATATCCTAGACTCCAGATGCCTCTTCTCTTGCCATTATTAAGACTTGCTCACGAGAAACTCAACAGGCAACGTTAACGCCAACCTCAAAACAAGAGCAAAAATAAGCTTCTGCACAGGGCCGCAAAAGATGCAAATAGAAATCCAAGGTTTGCTTTCTCTTGCAAGGATAGCTCCTAGGCTGTTTGAATAAAATCCTGCAGATGTAGACAGGTGTGGTAGACATTTAGGCAAAGGCTTAGGTGGTAACTGTTTTGCCTGAGGCCTGAATGTCTCTCTAGGACAGTGATGGCGAACCTTCTAGAGACCGAGTGCCCAAAACCCACCCTGCCCCCATCCTGTCATGGCTCCGCCCCTGCTCTACCTACCCCTGTCCCAGCCCGCCCACCCCCTGCCTGCCCGCAGGGCCACCCACCGCAGATCACCCAAGCGGCCTAGCAGCACCATGACAACCATGCCTTCCGCTTGCACCCTGCAGCATCAACTGTGTGCAATGGGGTGTGAGGGCGGACTCTTGTCCCCGCTGCCCAGCTGCCATGTCCTTGACTGTGTTGCTCCGTGTAGGCCGCGCTTGGGGGTGACTCTCCTCTGGGAGGACTGCTGATGAGGCGGACGCAGAGGGAGGTGGAGCTGGGGAGACAGCGCACGTGACCACAGAGAGGGCTCTGGGTGCCGCCTCTGGCACGCGTGCTGTAGGTTCGCCACCACTGCTCTAGGACATAGTTTGAGGGCAGCCATTAATGATCATGGCTGGGTGCATTATTCACTACATCAGTGGTCCTAATGCAGTGAGCCATATGTACTAGTTGTGTGTATGTGTGTGACACAGGCATGGGTGCAAGGAAAATCAAGCCTTGCCATACCCCCCAAAAAATGTTACCACCCTTTTGTGGCACTTGAAAAAAACTCTTCCATATAGAGGTGGTACTGCCAGATGTTACCCAGAAACCGGGGGGGAAAGCTCCACATTTAAAACTTGCTTGTTCTTTCTGATCTGTCCTTTTTTTGTGAATGCATATATTGGCCTAGTAAGCATAAATATGTTGAGAACAATATTTACAGGTGAGGGTGTATAACTGAAAATAGAGAGAGGGAGAAGGAGAGGAGAGGGTGTGTATTTTTCAAGTCTGCATTAAGACCTTGGTAATTCCTTGGCACGCTGATCGTTGCAGGGCTTTTCTGCAGTGATAAGCCTAGGGCAATCAACATAATCCTGGACCTACACAGATAGTCCTTGACTTACGACCATTCATTTCGTGACTGTTTAAATTTTCAGTGCCGGGAAAAAAAATAAGTGGTTCTCACAACCGTTGCAGCATCCTCCTGGTCCTATGATCAAAATTTGAGTGCTTGGCATGTATTTACAATGGCTGTAGCATCTCAGGATTATGTGATCACTGTTTACGACCTTCCCAGTTGCCTTCCAACAAGCAAAGTCAATGGTGGAAGCCAGATTCACTTAATGACCTCATGATTCGCTTAACTGCAGTGATTCAGTTAACAACCATCGCAAACAATGTCTTAAAATCAGACACGAAGCATTTAACAACTGCCTTGCTTAGCAGTGGAAATTCTGGTTCCGCTTGTGGTCATATAAGTCAAGGACACCCTGCAGTTCTTTAGTCAATCTCTTCTTTTATTTGAGGACCCATAATAATAGGTTCCGTTCAAGTGTCCATTTCTGTTTATTTCCAAGGCCAATTTCAAGGCAAAATTTACTTCATTGTTTCCCTATTTTCACAATCTTTCTTAACGTAAAACATTTGCATAAGCCTTGGGCATTGTGCCTGTTGGTCCTGCTGCATGATATAGGCGTGGCACTATTAACTTTTTCTTCCTGATTCCCAATGTTCTTCCTCTAGGCCAACCCTTTATGTAGGGAAATACTCTACTGGCTTATATGCTTCGCCATCGATGGTACACGAAGGAGTGGCTATTATGGTAAGTGTGCAGAGCTGATGTAACCCACAAATCAGATCTCCTGCTTCTTTACCTTATTCTACCACAGTTTGGATTTATACCCAGTATATTGAATGAATTGTGTTTAATTAAACCTTTATTTGGCTTAATTAAAGAAAAAAAATACTTGGAATTCTTAAGTCTAATGTAAGCTACCTGGTGACCCCACATGTTTTGGATGCCATGTTTAGGAATTCTTGCCAGCGTGACTGGCAGCATTGGCATGTGTGAATTACAGTTCCAAATTTCTGAAAAACATAAGCTGCCTATCCCCCAACTAAGTAACAAAAAATGGAAAACTATGTGAATTCCACAGAGCTATGCATAAATGTGCAATGTTTAAATCCATGGACACATTTATTTTGTTTTAACATTTGTAAAGTATTAGATGTTCCATTCCTGTACCTAAAGATCCACATTTTTGTCATCCTTCCTCTCTCTTCCTCTAGCCTCGGGGAAGCCCCATTCCATTGATAGAAGGCCCCAAAATACAAGGGGTCACCATTGAAGAATGTGTGATCACCCCAAGTACAGATCTAAGGTTTCAGCCTGGATTTAAATCAAAGAAAGGACTCCATTATCTGAGGAACCACTGGCTTTTAATAGGTACTTGAAAGGCTTTTTCTACATTATACTGCCCTCTGGTGAACAAAATGCAAAGTTAAAATAAGTATTACACTTTTGAAGCCTATTAACTGCTCAAGTAAACCCAACTGCGTTTCCATTTCCTTTTTGATGGATTTTTAATAAACAAGAGATGGGGAAATTATGAAATTCTCTTCTCTGTGAATATACTAACAATAATGCACAAAAAAGTACTTTTGTAGAAGCCTGTCAATTGCTACCACATTATAACTTGTTTAATTTAAAGTTCTCTGTATTTCTGACTTTTGCAAAATATGTGTGAGGAAGGGGAACTTGGAAGGGAAAAAGTCCGTTTAAGTATAATAACATTATTATGAAGTACCAAAGCATGCTCCAGAGTTACATTTGAGCTTCTGACTTGTTGAGTTCATACGCTGTCCGTAAGTTGAAAACCAGATCTGAAGTTTTAATGAACTAGCGACGTGAATCTTTTCAAATCCTGGGTATTAATGTAAAGGGTACAATATAGCAATAGGTTTATATACCTCTTGACAAAGGTTTACAGCCCTCTGTAAGTGGTTCACACAGTCAGCATATTGCCCCCAACAATCTGGGTCCTCATTTTACCAAAGCGTGGAAGGCTGAGTCAACCTTAAGCCAGTGAGAATCGATCTGCTAGCAGCCACTGGATCACCACAGCTCTTATGCAACTATTCCACAGAAGTATTCCACAATAGAATTCAGAACCAAAATACATCATGGTTGCCCTCTCTTTTAAGTGAGAGGGGTACACTCTGGTGTAAAGAACTTTTGGCTCTGGATATTTGCAGAACTACAACTACCCAGCATTCTCAGCTAACCTGGTCAATGAGGAGGGATGCTTGGAAGAGATGACAACCAACTTCTGGAGCAGTACAGATTCTAGTCTTAGAAGACAACTGTATGAGTGACTGCGACAATGATAGCTGAGTGGAACCTCAGCAGTCAGACACAACCAGTCTTGGGAACAAATAACAAGAAAGGACTGTTATTGGCTTCCAAGAAATTGGCCACTATCGAAAATTGAATTCTGAGTTAAATTAACCTTTGGTCGTCTAAGTGGGACTGTTCCTTGTTTTCTTGTACTCTTGATCACGCTGCCATATTTCTGAGCCATTCAGATGAAGGTATACTGTGTGAAACTGTTTCGTGGACATTTTCTTTTCCTTTGGGAATAACAGAGACCATATTCCTATTTGAAGGGCATCATGAGACCCCACTATCAGCCTCAACCAGGATCCTGGAGAAATTTCCAAGCAACTTGCCAAAACGTCAGGAAAATGTGATCCCGGCAGATTCAGACAAAAAAGTTTTTGAAGAGGTTTGTTTATTTGTTTGTTTTTAAAAACCCAGTCTTTGTTAACAAATTTACAAAGAGAAGTGACTATTCCACTTCAAAATGGAATCGTTGTATTTCATCCACTAGGAGAAGCACAGGAAGAATGTTGTGGATTTTATAGGTCTCACAGAGGACTAGGAGATCAAGGGTGGGCGGGCTTCCTGTGTAACATGATAAGGATCCCAGTTACATATTCAAAGGTTAGGAGCCCTGCAGGAATTAAATTAAGCATGCCTGACCTCTGGGTGAGAATTCACTGAGGCCCATATGCAAGAGTGAAATGTCCAGTTAAGAAATATTGATATAGCCCACATTGTAAAGTAAACAGAAGAAACAGATCAACTATCGGTAGGAGGGAGTTGGCTAATTTCTACATTGAATTTAGAATGAGCAAAAATAATTCTCATAAATCTGAAATGTTGCAAAACTGTCAACATTAAACCTAATCCTTGAAAGCTTGTAATGTTCACTTGGGTATATTTTGGCTGGGGATGGTTTTCATACCCTCTCAGCAAGGCTGAACATTGTATCTTTGCATTATTTTCTCTAATTGTATACTAACTGTTGAAGAAACAAACTTACATTGTATTGTAAGCATCTGCACTGTCGTGGCAGAGAGGGGGACAGTCAAACTGATGCGGTTCTTGCTTCTCAGGCAATTAATATGGCCGGCAGTCCCGGGAAGAATTTGCCACACCCTATTCCAGAGGCGGCTGCAGAGACGACCAGCCAAACCACAACCCGACCAGAGGCTCCAGATGATTCCATCTTGAAGGACTTTGCCACTGTTCTCTTGAGCACTTTCCTGCTTGTTGGCTGGGTAGCCTTTGTTATTACCTACCCCATGGTAGGTGTGTAATCATCATTTTAAGACAGTACAGGAAATCTTGACTTACACAACTGACCCCAAAATTTATGCTGTTAAGTGAGAAATTTGTTGCAAGTTTTGCCCCACTTTATGACCTTTCTTGCCACATTCCTTAAATGTATCTGTCCGCGTATCCAAAGTCGTTCGTGACGTAAAGCAAAGAAGACCGGCACACGCTGACACCCACCAAGCTCTTTATTAAGCATGTGAGACAAAGTCAGCTCTGGGGCCTGATTCCCCTCCACCGCAATATATCGGCGTGCTCCACCCTGTAGCTCCGCCCCCCATCCCAAACCAGCATCCGTTTGAAATGGATATATGCTATGTCCGTTCCCTGCGCTGTCCCTTTTCCCGACGAAGCTCCGCCCCCACGCCCCGCTGTCCGTGCGCCCGGTCTGCGCCCCTGTTGCCCGCCGCTAAGCTCGCCCTGCTGGATTCCCTGGCGGCTGGGAGACAACCCCCGCCTCTCCCGCCGGGATGCATCCCCATTAGCACAAGGTGTTTCGCCCGTTGTTGGCCTTCCAGCGCCTCGCAAATGGCTCGTTGGAGCTCCCTCCGGTCTATCAGGTGCCGTTGACGTCTGTCGTGCTGTCCGTGGAGACGTTCGCGAGGGAGTTCGCCCGGGGCGGCGGTGGGGTGTGGCAGTGCACAGCTCAACTGTTTCTCGCCCCCGTGAGTTGACGTTCGTGCTCCCCCTGTCCCTGGTTGTATGGCAAGCCGTCGGGGCTTGACATGCGGCCCCCTCTACCACTTGTCCCCCTGGGGAGGAAAAGAAAGGGGTTGAGTACACAACATTACACTTGTTCCGCCCCGGCTTATCTGGGTGCCTCCGGTGGAATGTCCGAATCAGGTTGGGTGCCCTTATATCCTCCTCTCCCACCCAGGTCGCGTCTGATAGCGGGTAGCCCTTCCACCGAAGGAGGTATTGGGTTTTGCCATATCGCTTCCGTGAGTCTAGGACCTCCTGCACCTCGTAATGGGACCCGGATATCGGTCCTGGTACCCCGTCAGCATAGGGACTTCTATGTGTTGGTTTGAGTAGACTACTATGGAACACGGGGTGAACCTTGCCTAGAGAGGCGGGTAGCCGTAGCCGAACTGTAACTGGGTTAATCACTTTGAGGATCTGGAAAGGCCCTACATACTTCGGGCCTAGCTTCTTACATGGCACTTGCAGACGCAGATATTTGGTGGCTAAATACACCCAGTCTCCCACTTTGAACGGTTTATGCTCGGCCCGTTTTTTGTCGGCTTGGACCTTGGCAGCCGCTTCGGCCTTCCTCCGGGCTATCCTCACCCGGTCCCACAACTCTGGAAGTTTGGACGTCCATGTTTGAGGGGTCTGGCCGCTGGCCACCTCTGGTGACAATTCGGGCATGGGGTTAAACTCCATACCATACACTATTTTAAACGGGGTATACCCCGTACTGCTGTGGACGGTATTATTATATGCCACTTCAGCAAACGGCAACAAATCCACCCAATCCGTTTGCTGGAATGACACATAACTTCGGAGGTACCTTTCCACCATGGCGTTTGCCCTTTCCGCCGCCCCGTTAGTGCTCGGGTGATATGCTGAACTCAGCGCCTGTGAGGACCCTAGCGAACGAACGAACACCCTCCAGAATTCTGCGGTAAATTGCACCCCTCTATCCGACACTATTCTTCTAGGTACACCGTGAAGCCGATAGATGTGTTGAATAAACAACCGGGACAATCGTCGTGCTGATGGCAGGCCTCTGCAGGGGATGAAATGTGCCTGCTTGGAAAAGAGATCTACCACGGTCCATATCACACTGTAGCCCCGATTGCTGGGTAGTTCTACGATAAAATCCATGGCGATCTCTTCCCACGGCCGGGACGGATCGGCCACCGGTTGTAATAACCCCATAGGCTTCCCTACTCGGGGTTTTGCACTAGCGCACACGTGGCACCCTTTTACATATTGTTCCACATCTGCTTTTTGTTTGGGCCACCAGAATTGCCGCCGCACTAAGTGCAGGGTCTTTAAAAACCCAAAGTGGCCCGCTTGTTTAGCGTCGTGACACCTTCGAAGAACGGAGGGGCGTAGGCTCTCGGGCACATAGATCCTATCCCCTTTCCACGCCACACCGTCCCGAGTAGTCAACCATTCGGAATGCTCATTTGCCCACGCATCAGACAGTAAGGCAGCCCTAATGTCCTCTACCCCGCTTACCAGAGACCTGTGAGTTACGGCCTCAACGGACTCACACCGATAAGGCGGCACCAGGGCCTGTATTACCTCCTCCCGTTTGCTACGGTACTGCGGCATCCGCGACAATGCGTCGGCCAAAAAGTTCTTTCCCCCCGGCACATACCTCAGTGTGAAGTTAAACCGGTTGAAGTATTGTGCCCATCGAACATGTTTGGGGGCCAGGCGTCTCGGGGTCTGTAGCGCCTCCAGATTCTTATGGTCTGTCCACACCTCAAAGGCCAGTTTGGCCCCTTCTAACAAATGCCGCCACGTTACCAGGGCCCAGCGTATCGCGAAGGCCTCCTTTTCCCAGACAGTCCAGCTACGTTCGGCCGTCGTAAATTTACGCGACGTATAGGCACATGGCTGCAATTCTCCCCCACTACCCTTCTGCAACAACACTGCCCCCACTGCGACATCGCTGGCGTCCACCTGGACCACAAAAGGGGCACTCTGGTCCGGGTGGCGTAACACGGGCTCCTTAGCAAATAATGTTTTCAGTGACTCAAACGCTTTCTGACAATTCACAGACCACTCTAGCCGTTGGCTCGGGCGGGGCCTTGCTGCGAGGTGTTTCGTCCGCAGTAGTTCCGTGAGAGGATGCACCACGGTTGCGAACGATGGAATGAACGGACGGTAGAAGTTTGCAAATCCGAGAAAACTTTGCAGCTGGCGTCTAGTTTGGGGTGCTTGCCATTCCTGTACGGCTCGCACCTTGCTCGGATCCATTTCCACCCCGCTCCCCGAGATGCGGTAGCCCAGGTAATCTAGTCGTTCCCGGTGAAATTCGCACTTCGATAATTTCACATAAAGTTGGGCCTCCAACAACTTCTGTAGTACTTGCCGTACCAGGCTGATATGCTCCTCCCGTGTTTCGGTATATATTAGAATGTCATCTAGGTACACGAGTACCCCGCGGTATAGGTGTTCATGCAACACCTGATTGATCAACTGCATGAATACCGCGGGGGCTCCTCGTAACCCGAACGGCATGACGCGAAACTGGAAACTACCTAACGGACAGTTAAACGCCGTTTTCCATTCGTCGCCAGCCTTAATTCGTACTCTATAGTACGCCTCCCGTAAATCTAATTTAGTGAATATGCGGCCCGTCCCCAAATGTGCCAATAGATCTTTCATTAGGGGCAGGGGGTATACATGCTCAACACATACCGCGTTCAACCCCCGAAAGTCGACACATAAGCGTAACGATCCATCCTTCTTTTCTTTAAAGAGGACGGGGGCCGCTATCCGGGACCTAGCAGGCTGAATAAACCCTCGCGCTAGGTTCTGGTCGATGTATCTACGGAGTTCCTGCACCTCCGGTGGTGTCATCGCGTACATCCGGGGTTTCGGGAGCTTAACCCCCGGCAATAGCTCTATAGCGCAATCCGTCGGCCGGTGAGGGGGCAGGTGATTACACTCCTCCTCACTGAAGACCGCCGCTAAATCCCTGTATTCCTCGGGATATGTTACCTCCCCCACCGTTTCCTGGAGTTGCGCCGCTACCCCCGGAAGCTTGGGAACCTGGCCCTCGCCACCACCATTCCCTGGCGTTGGACCTACCCCAAGACGCACTTTCCGGTACCCCCCTTCCCACCATATAGTTGGGGTCCATTTGTCCAACCAGGACAACCCCAAGATGACCGTCTTCGCCGTAATGGGAACCACAATGAATCGTAATACCTCCCAATGGTCTCCTAGGTCCATGCGTACCCGTTCCGTTACATGGGTCGCGGGGACCCCCCCCAACAATGACCCGTCCACTTGTTCGAACCGTATGGGTTGTGGTAATGGATATATCCGGAACCCACTGTCCACCGCTACCCTCCTACTCATCAGACAACGTGTACATCCGGTATCGATCAAGGCCTGACACGCCTTCCGTACACCCGTCACCGGACTCGTAAGGACTATAGGGAGGAGGAATGGGTTGATGGGATCACTCACCATTGGATCGGCCATTCCCTCGTCAGGGCTGTCCTCCTCGTCCCCCGTCTGGTAGCGTACCCCGGCTACGGGCACTGGCGTGACCGGGGCTCCTGGCTTCGCCCCTGGAACCGGCTGCTGGACAACCGCCCTTAAACTCTCTGTGGCTTTCTTCAGTGGTGTGGCTCTACCACCTGCTGCGGTCTTACGGGGGCTGGGTGCTGGACAGTCGGCTGCGCGGTGACCCGGCTGGTCGCAACGGAAGCACCGGAAACCCGCTGCTCCTGACGGTCCCGGTGGCTTTGGTGTTGGCCGCTGTTGGTCCTGGCCGCCCTCGCGAGGTCTATCCCCGGGACGCCGCAGCCGCGAAACATCCCCGTACCCTCGATACACTTCTTTCAGGCCTGCTTCAATCTCGATCACTACCCTGAACCAGTCTCTCAGTCTGTTGGGCACACCCCGATATACACAGGCTTGCCGTAAGTCGTGGTCTAGGCCTGCTCTGAATTGATGTACCAACATCCGCTCCGGCCAAGAGGACTGCAACCGCCCGGCTAACTTCCGAAACTCCCGCACGTACTCGACGGCCGGACGTTTCCCTTGTTGGAGCGCCAGCAGGTCCGCCTCGGCCCTCTGTGCCCGAGTGGGGTCATCGAACCGCCCATGCAGAGCGTCCAGGAACAGCCCCGCACTCCCCAACTCCCGGGCATGGTCACTGTACAGGTCGGCCGCCCATGCGGCCGCCTCTCCGCGCAAGGCGGCAGTAATGGCGCCGACCATAGCCCATTGGGAGACATATAGCTGTGCGAACTGGTCCAGGTGGCTTATGGCCTGTCCCAGGAACATCGCCAATTGGTCAGGGTTACCGTCGAAGGTAACCGGAATAGGGGGAACCCCCCATAGATATCCTGGCCCCCACGGGCCCTGGGGTTGGCCTGGTACCACGTTTGGATGTCCGGCCGCGAAGTCCTGCCGTTCCCTCCCCCCTGTTGCGGTCAGGCCTCCTGCCACGTTCCTGGGCCCACCCGGCTGGGCTGGGTGTGGCTGACCCGCCGGCCCGCCCGAGGGGAGTCCCATAACGCCCAGGCCACCTGTGGGATTGGGCAACCGCAGCCGCGGACTACTCAGGCGGAATCTAGACGAGGGGGTGCGACCCGTAGCCTCCCCTTCCGATTGCCACGTATCGGCGGCGCCTTTGTAACTCGCTTCACCAAACCGGTGACGCAGGATATCCATGGTTTCCTGGCCCGGAGCCGTGGAGTAGCTCCAGTCTTCATCTTCCTCCACCGTGGCGCGTCTCTCCCGCCACCCCGAATGCCCGAGCTTCGGCTTTGGCGTTAGGAGCTGCTCGGGCTGTAGACCAGTCACCGCCGGGCTTTGCCACCACTCCTCCTGGGGCTTAGCGGCTCCTGCCTCTCCCACAGCGAGCTCCGATATTACAGACTGTAACAGTTTTGGCCGTACTACCGGCTGGGCCACCGCCGGCTCCGCCGCCGGGACAGCATCCACAACCCCGCCGGCCGCCACCTCTCCCTCGACCAAGGCAGCCCCCTGAGTCCCCTCCGCCATACCGTAGCCGTACACGGGAACCGTAGACTGGAGGGTTGGGGTGAGAGCTGACTTTATGTCCGCGTATCCAAAGTCGTTCGTGACGTAAAGCAAAGAAGACCGGCACACGCTGACACCCACCAAGCTCTTTATTAAGCATGTGAGACAAAGTCAGCCCTGGGGCCTGATTCCCCTCCACCGCAATATATCGGCGTGCTCCACCCTGTAGCTCCGCCCCCCATCCCAAACCAGCATCCGTTTGAAATGGATATATGCTATGTCCGTTCCCTGCGCTGTCCCTTTTCCCGACGAAGCTCCGCCCCCACGCCCCGCTGTCCGTGCGCCCGGTCTGCGCCCCTGTTGCCCGCCGCTAAGCTCGCCCTGCTGGATTCCCTGGCGGCTGGGAGACAACCCCCGCCTCTCCCGCCGGGATGCATCCCCATTAGCACAAGGTGTTTCGCCCGTTGTTGGCCTTCCAGCGCCTCGCAAATGGCTCGTTGGAGCTCCCTCCGGTCTATCAGGTGCCGTTGACGTCTGTCGTGCTGTCCGTGGAGACGTTCGCGAGGGAGTTCGCCCGGGGCGGCGGTGGGGTGTGGCAGTGCACAGCTCAACTGTTTCTCGCCCCCGTGAGTTGACGTTCGTGCTCCCCCTGTCCCTGGTTGTATGGCAAGCCGTCGGGGCTTGACAGTATCACTGTAGTTGATACAGGCAGTTGCCTGTATCAATGTTTGAATTAATTTTATGAACTCTTAAACCATGTCTTAATAATATAACAACAGTAAATGGTTGGGCATGGATAAGGAGATATAGACATGTTCAGGTTTTTGACGAACTCCTTAGACCAGTGATGGCGAACCTTTTAGAGACCGTGCCCAAACTGCAACCCGAAATACACTTACGTATCGTCGGGTGCCAGGTGGGTGTGGCCCATTGGGTGGGTGTGGCCCATTGGGTGGATGTGGCCCATTGAGTGGGCATAGCTGCGATGGTAACGGCAGACTGGGTGGGACTAAAAAGTTCAATAAATCAATTCCAACTTTGCGAGATTTTTTTTTTTCCCACAAGAAGTTGAAATTGACTAATTGATTGAACTTTTTTTTTTTTTGCCCACGGTGTCGGAGGCCTAAAGTGAAAAGGTTTTATAAAACCCAGCTGAAGGCCTAGGACTGGGGCGACAGCACGCATGCCCACAGAGAGGGTTCTACGTGCCACATTCCAGGTCAATTAATTTCTGCTTTCTTAGTGAAAAGTAAAATAAATATTTTTAATTTAAAAAACCCTCTATTTTGGATTTACCAAGAATTTTCTATATCAATGAAAACACATGAAATTAGACTTCTATGGAGTTGGGCAGTCTGGTATGAAAATTAAAGCCAACAATGATATTCTACTTAATCATTACATAGCACACCCTTATATCAATGAATTTGGTACTACTGAATCTCTTCAGAAGTTTTCCTCAACCAAGTGTCTCCCAGCACCTTAGTATCACTGTTCCCAGAATTAACTGCATATGGCATTGAAAACATGATTGAAGGTGGGGGGAAGGAAAGAGAGGGCCTTATGAACTCTTTTAAGCTCATTCATGTTGCTTAAGATTATTTTTATTCTTTTAAGAACATACACCATCAGCAACAGCACCAACAGTTCCAGAAACAGATAGAAGAGAAGCTACAGTTGTTGAAGCAACAGCCTTTCAGACCTCCCATAGATCTTCCTCCTGAGGCAGAACTTCTGGAAGGTTCTTGTGTCAGGCAAGATGGCTCAGCCACCAGTTCACTAAGTATGTCACCGAAGACGTCAAACCACTCTGTGTACTCCAGTCTCTCTGTCTCTGATGTTGGAAGCTGCCTTTCCACCGAACCTGAAGGAGGTGCTAAAACTCGACTAAGTATTTTATTTTTTTGCCCAGTGGGATTTTGATTAATGATATTTCCCATCAAGCCTAGTGGGTCAGAGTTGGGGGCTTAGGCACTGCGTCTGATATTTTTTAAGTTCAGGTTTGTATTAATGTGATCTAATCTGATTTTGAACACTAGATGAAAACTTCATACAATTGTCCACTAAGCCAGTGTGCGTCTTCTCTAGCACAGGTCCTCCACTGTACAATGTTTCCCAACCTAATGGGAACATTTCAGGATTTGTTATCTTTAGGTGAAGGGTTAGAAAGTTGATTCAGCAACTTTTTTTGTCTGGATCTTTTCTGGATTGAGGGGGGGGGGATGTCAACCTATTCTCCAAAGCACCTGAAGGTAGAACAAGAAGCAACGGATGGAAACTACTTAAGGAGAGAACCAATCTAAAACTAAGGAGAAATTTCCAAACAGTGAAAACAATTAACCAGTGGAACAGCTTACCTTCAGATGTTGTGGGTGCTCCATCACTGGAGGTTTTTAAGAAGAAACTAGGTAGCCACTTGTCTCAAACTGTATAGGGTCTCCTGCTTGAGCAGAGGGCTGGACTAGAAGACCTCCAAGGTCCTTTCCAGCTTTATTCTGATTGGATTGGAATTCAATCCCCATAATTGCTAGAAATCATGCATAATAGCCACGCTGATTAGGCATCATGAGAACTGAAATCCAACACATCTAGACTACACCAACTGAGGGAAGCTGTGTTGCAGCAATGCAGGTTAACAAAATCTTAAGTCCATGAGCTGCCACCTTATTGATGCTACTTTAGCATTTGTTTCTTTAGTATATTTGAATAGCCGTTGTTGCCTTTGAAGTCTTGACTGCCTCAGAAAAACTTTCTTAATTCCTTTTATACCTTCATCTTGGCTTTTGGAGCTGATACTTTAAACAGATACTGAGAAGTGTATTGTATCTTTTTCTTCCCTCTTTCATGGGTTTTCAGATGGAAAGTCAGGCACCATTGTGGTTGGAAAGATTTCATTCAATCCAAAGGATGTCCTTGGACATGGAGCCGAGGGAACAATTGTTTACAGGTGAAGCAAAAAGATACATTTTCAGGAAATATTTCATAATCTAGTGTTTCATTGATGCATTTACAACAAATTAATATAACTAGACAGATATCCATGCAGCTCTATACAGGTAATCCTGAACTTAAGACCGGTTCTTTAATGATTGTTTGAAGTTACGACAAATTTGAGAGAAGTTACTTATGACCCATCCTCAAAGTTACGACTGCCCTCTCCTGCAGTCATTGTGATTGCATTTTGGGTGTTTGGCAACCATTTACGATCAGTTGCAGTGTTCTGCAGTCACATGATCACAGTTTACTATGGTTGTTGCCATTTTTTCCAGCAATACCAATAGTCTGGATTCACTTAACAATCACATGATTCACTTAAGAACCACATATTTCACTTAACAACCATGGTAACTCACTTTAGGACCATTGTAAAAATGGTGGTAAAATCAAATCTGCTCACATGGTGCCTTGACTTACAGTCGCAGTGACTTGTAACAAAATTCCAGGCTCCATTGTCATAAGTCGAGGACTACCTGTATATTGTTGAGAGAGGCCAGCCTTTCTTAAATTTTCCTTCATAGCATAAAATCTGTGTTGATCTACCTTTTTACTAATTGTGTGAACTAGGCCTCGTGGCCCCCAACCTTTTAGGCATCGGGGACTGGTTCCGTGGAGGGCGGCTTTTCCACAAACCAGAGGGGGGGCTGATTTCACATGCTGCCTGGATGTTGCGTGTGTGCGGATGAGGCTTTGCTTGCTTGTGTAGCCTGGTTCCTAGTGGGCTGCAGACCAGTACAAATCAAGGGCCTGAGGGTTGAGGACCCCTGCTTTAGGCCATCAAATGTGGCTCAGTTTAAGAACTTAAATTAATACATGGCTGAACAGAACCTATCCACAATTGCTTTTCTGGGTTACGGATCCCACAGTCCACCTGCTTTTCCTAATGTTCAGTCAGAATCCGCCTCCCTGTAACTTAGATCTATTGTTCCATTTTATACATTCTAGAATGAACGATGGCACGTGGGTTCTGATCTTTTTTTTCAGCATGCCCCTTCAAATATCTGAAACGTACTACTAAATGCACACGTTTGCTCCAATTATCTGAGCTTTTTGGGATGCTGTGAAATTATACGTGGATGATGCAGTCTGCCTTTCCTGTTCATTCAATCTTAGCAGGGACTCAGGCAGTATCCCTGTTTGTTTATTGTAGCCCTGACAAGTTTTTTTCACTCCCTCTCCCATCATACTTCCTTAGCAGAAAGATTCTTCCAGAGACAAAGTGATTTTATGACTAAGAACTTTGCACAGTGTATCCCTCGGCTACCCCTGTCCCTTTTTATTTTCAGGTTATAAAAATAAGCTACCCTTTGATAGTGGCCTCCTTGCAATGCTATAACCAGCCCCCAATAAATGTATCCACGGCCTAGGACAGTGATGGCGAACCTTTTAGAGACTGAGTGCCCAAACTGCAACCCAAAACCCACTTATGCATCATTGGGTGCCGGATGGGTGTGGCCCATTGGGTGGGCGTGGCTGTGGTAGTAACGGCAGACTGGGTGGGACTAAAAAGTTCAATCAATCAATTCCAACTTTGCAAGATCTTTCTTTCCCCGCAAGAAGTTGAAATTGACTGATTGAAACTTTTTTTTTTGCACACGGTGGCGGAGGCCTAAAGTGAAAAGGTTTTATAAAACCCAGCTGAAGGCCTAGGACTGGGGCGACGGTGCGCGTGCCCACAGAGAGGGCTCTGAGTGCCGCCTCTGGCACCCGTGCCATAGGTTTGCCACCGCTGGCCTAGGATATTCTTCCTTCTAAACCAGATTAAAATGCTCTTGAAATACGGTTGTAAGCGTCTTCATGCCATATTAGAGGTGAGATCCTAACTGATTTCATGGATGAATGTTAAGTCATTGCCCCCTTGTATGTTGGAATATTCACAGGGGCACGTTTGACAACAGAGATGTTGCTGTGAAGAGAATTCTCCCCGAATGTTTCAGCTTTGCTGACCGGGAGGTCCAGCTGCTCCGTGAATCTGATGAACACCCTAATGTAATCCGCTATTTCTGCACAGAGCGGGACCGCCAGTTCCAGTACATTGCTCTGGAACTCTGTGCTGCCACCTTGCAGGAGGTAAACCTGAAGCCCAGTCACCTTTCGAAAAAGCACCTCTGGAGTCTGCCAACCAAAACAAATCTCGTTGCACCCCCCAAGCTGTCTCCTCCTCTGGTATCTGTAGGTAGCAGGCATAGTTCTGAGATTGCATCTTTGCATCTCACTCACTAGGAATCTTTTGGGCTCGCTTTTAATTGGAAAGCTTTGCCTCTCATATCTCTTGCTCTCAAGTATTTTCCAAGGCGCCTGAAGGCAGGACAAGGAACAGCAGGTGGAAACTAACCAAAGAGAGAAGCAACCTAGAACTAAGGAGAAACTTCCTGACAATTAGAACAATTAACCAGTGGAACAACCTGTCTCCAGAAGCGGTGAATGCTCCAACACTGGAAGTCTTTAAGAAGAGACTGGACAGCCATTTGTCCAAAATGATATAGGGTTTCCTGCCTGAGCAGGGGGTTGGACTAGTTGACCTCCAAGGTTGCTTCCAACTTTACTACTACTACTACTACTATTACTATTACTACTACTACTACTACTACTATTATTATTATTATTATTATTATTATTATTATTATTATTATTATATAAACTTTCTAACTCTTCTTCCGTTGACTTCTAGGTCCCTTGTCTCCTTAGGCTACCTCTTCCTCCTTTTCCTGCCCCGGCCAATCTTCTGCTGCTTCTCCTCTCCTGTCTCCCTTTGTGCCTCTCTCTCTCCATGTCAAATCTGCTGTGATCTGGTGGAGTCTCTGAATTTACAGCTCCACAAGAGAACCCTGTTTCCTCTGTTTTTGCCTCTTTCCAATTACACAGCTGCGTAACTTGATTTTTCGCACCCAGACTTTTCAGAGCAAGTCTCTACCGATTTAGATCAGATTTGTTCATTTCCCAACACTACCGCTACTTTATGGGTTGCACATTTTATGGGGATTGTAGTCCAAACACCAGAAGGTCATTTGGTTACCTCTCCTACAGAAGTCTGTGGAGATCCTCAAGCATCCAAGTCATTGGTTGTCCCAATTTTTTTTTCCTTGAAAACATTTCGCTTCTCATCCAAGAAGCTTCTTCAGTTCTGACAGAATGGTTCAGTTCAGTCAGAACTGAAGGAGGTCCTTGGATGAGAAGTGAAATGTTTTCAAGGGAAAAAAAAAACCCAAGGAAGTTCTGTTGCCTTTTGGAAAAGCACCTTTGGGACTCTCTTACAGGAGTTACACCGCCCAATCAAATGCAGACTTACTGCTTGGTATGCTTTCTAGAAAGACTACCAAGCATTGCAGTGTTAACCTCAGTCTGATTTTGTCTCTGTGTAATTTTAGTATTTGGAACAGAAGGACTTTGGCAATCACGGCTTGCAGCCAATCACCCTCTTACAGCAGACCATGTCTGGTCTGGCTTATCTTCACTCTCTCAACATAGGTAAGAAGCCCTTTTATTTGAATGGGCAGCTCTCTCGCTGCACGTATTGAGGGAAAAATTGGAGGCTTAGTTTGGGGTGGCAGGATAATATTTTTCAGGAAATTGAGGCAGATTCCGGGGTTGTGAGATGGAAAGTAAACACGTTGAAGCCAGAGCTACTGTTCTATCTGATGGCAGCATTATATATCTGGTTGATGAGAAGATGAGAGATCAACGTAAAAAAAGTGGGATAAAAATCTAGCAAATAAATATATAATGAGGGGAAGCTAAAGAGCTGAATATCTCTTTTAGTGAGCTGCCTACCCCATGAAGTATAGGGTTGACTTTCTTCTCTAAGAGATAAAATGGGAAAGATACATGTTATTAAAAGAAGGTCATTAGTGACTTTATATCTTTACAACAATGGCGGAGGGGGTGTATGCTACAAAGAAGCTGTTGTGTAGCATCCCTCAACCATCATCATATCAATATAAAATACATACTTTGATTGAACCACAGCATTTCGATGATGACAGATGATGTCATAAATCAGCAGGGTGGGAATAACCCAAGTCTATAATTGGACTGGTTTTTGAGATGAGGTCAACATTTTGAAGCAATAAGTTGACTCTTTTCTCATTTGGTGCCTTCCTCATGCCTTCCGTTCAGTCCACAGAGACCTGAAGCCCCACAACATCCTCATCTCTATGCCGAACGCCCATGGCAAGGTAAAAGCCATGATTTCTGACTTTGGCCTCTGCAAGAAGCTTGCAGTTGGCAGGCACAGTTTTAGTCGCCGGTCTGGAGTCCCAGGCACTGAAGGTTGGATTGCTCCAGAGATACTGAGTGAGGATTGCAAAGAGAATCCAGTAAGTCAGAAGCATTTTGCTCGTTTGCTTTGAATCTTTTGTGCTGGGGTTTCCTTGTACAGTGATTTGAAATCGGGCACACATTTACTGTATGTGGTGGCCTCACTTTTCAGGGTAGGGTATCTTGCAGAAGTTTACCTCTGGGACAGAGTTTTCCTTCCTAACAAGAAAGTCAGAGAGATCTGATCCCTCTCTAGGATAAACTCAATCTTTAATAAGGTTCTAGAGTAGCGTAGCTCTCTTTAGATAAGTGTGGATTTTGAAATTCAGTCCAGAAATTCCTTTTGGGCTGAAGAAAATAGAAAAGGGGCAAGGAAGGAACGTTTCCAATCTCTCCTTGGATCAGTTGGGAGAGTCAAGCCATCAGCAGTCTGATCTTCTTGTTTTGGGTTTCAGCAAAATGCTGTAAACAGTGGAGGATAACAGTATTTGTAAGTGCTGATTTTTTTTTACAGTATTTTACAGTTCCAGCTTCTTCTCTGGTCTTTTTCAAAGTTCAAAGTCTTTCAAAACCCACTTAGGTTCTATAGATTTCAATTTTAGAGTAAATTAATACATTGAAATCAAAGCCAACTGTTCTTATCCCTTAATGCAGCATTCAAGGATGAATAGCTGTTAACATTATTAGATCAAGCCTTTCAGTTTAAGAGAGCACCATACTATGATTTAATTTAAACTAAATATATTTATTTCCTTCATGTAGAGTTGTTTCATATCTAGAGCTACAAGATGCGAAATAATACACATGTTTTAATGCTGAGGAAAGAGAATATTTCAGATGTGTTTTGAAAAAAAATAAGGGGGTACACTTACAAAAGTAGTTTAAGAAAAAGGGATAAAAATTAAAGAGTTCAAAAAAGCCTCTTGTGTCAAACAGCATGTATTGTCAATACAAGAATACCTTATATTCAGGAAGGGAAGGATTGGCAGTTAAAATCGTTAGATGAATTAAGGCAAGAAAATATTGTTTACTCTTGGTTTCAGTATAGACAATTGCTAGATAGATGGAGTTTAGATCAAAAAGTTGGTATTACTTTAGAAGATGTGAATTTGATAAAACAAATTAGAGATCAAAGTCGAACTCATATAAAGAGAATTTATAATGTATTAGTGGAATTGGATTCAGAAATGGAATTAATCAAAGATTGTATGATAAAATGGGCCCCAATTTTTCAAGAGCCAATATTATTAGATACATGGGAGGCAATTTGGGTTGGGAATGTGAAGTTTACTCAGGCTCAAAATTTACGAGAAAATTTTTATAAAATGTTTTATAGGTGGCATTTGGATCCACAAAAATTGTCTCGCATGTATCTTAATTTACAGCCTAAGTGTTGGAGATGTGGTTGCTTAGATGCAACCTATTATCATATTTGGTGGACCTGTACAAATATAAAAGCTTTTTGGATTAAGATTTGGTGGAACATTCAAAAGATTTTTAATAGAAAGATAAAGTTTACACCACAATTGTTTTTGTTAGGTATTATTGAAGGTTGTGATGTTAAAGAAACTATTTTAATGTTGAATCTTATTACAGCGGCAAGGCTATTGGTTGGGCAATATTGGAAGAAAGATTCTTTGCCTACTATAGAAGAATGGTCGTTTAAAGTTTCTAATTTCGCAGAAATGGCCAAAATTTCTGCTTACTTGAAAGATCATTCACAAGAAAGATACATCTCAGTGTGGAGAAGATGGATAAACTTTGTACAGAATAAATATGGGATTAGAAAGTATTATTTAGTTTTTGATTAACTTATAGTTAATTGGGAGTTGTTTGTATTTGAGATTTGGTTATTGGGATAGTTGGATAAGCTTAGTTAGAATTTGTTTATTTTTTATTTTTTTAACCCTGTAATCAGCTCTGGGAAGTTGGGGGGGGGGGTTGGGGGGGGGGAGGAAGGGAGGGTTATTGTATTGTAATAAAACTTTTGTATAAAACTTTTCAATAAAAAAAAAGAATACCTTATATTCTTTTGAAATTAAAATAGATTTAAATTTTGGTTACTTATTATGTATTCAGATAAATGCCAAGATTTGCCTTGTGCAATACAATGTTCATATCCACAAATTAGAATTTTAGTAAAGTGCTGTAAAGAATCTTGTTGGAATTCTCATATTTCTTACATCTTGGAAATTTATTTTTCTTTATATGCCAAACATTCATTCATTCATTCATTCATTCCACTGGATTGGCCAACTCCCAAAAGCTGCTGAGTGGCTGATAACATTATTAAAGATACTGTATGGTAATATTTTTTGAAAATGGTTCTATTGCAGACCCACACGGTGGATATTTTTTCAGCTGGCTGTGTTTTCTACTATGTGATATCAGAAGGCAACCATCCGTTTGGCAAATCCCTGCAGCGGCAAGCCAACATTTTACTGGGAGCATACAGTCTGGATTGCCTAAATTTAGAGATCCATGGTAAGCAGGCTAGGATACAGTTGTTGTCAATTATGATATTTGTGGCATACATACCTTCACATGTCCAACATAAATTTCTAGGCTGCATGTGAAAACTGTGATTGACTTGGAGTTATATTTTGCATTGAACAATTTTCTATCTGTGTTATATTAGGCAAGGGGTGATAGAATCATATTGATTTCTGTAGAAGGTGGCTGAATTCAACAGTGATTTTTTTTTGTGACTTGACTTATTTGTTCATAGGTTATGATTGATCGTGCAGTCAGCCAGATACTGTATTTAGACTAGATGTGGCATTTTGTCCACTAATAATAATCAGTCCATACCATATGTAAATTGGTCTTTCGCCTTTTCCAGTTCTTGAAAGCCATTTTATCAATTATAAATCAATCTTTTGTACCTCTGCTTTTCCTTTTATTTCCTTCTGTTCTACTGGAAGGATGTTATTTTTTCTAAATAATATTGGATGTTGTTCCCTATTATGCCCGTAAATAATTTAAACATTGTAGGCAAGCATGTTATTGGCCTGTTGTTTTTTGGTGTTGTCCCTTTTGCTGGGTCTTTTTGAGTCAAATAAGCTTTGCCAGTTACATACCAATCACTTTCCTTTATACAATGTTCATTAAGCAGTTTAGCTATAATTGGATGTACACTAAACATTTAAGCATAAAGCCACACAGTTGATCATTTCCAGGAGATATCCATTTTTAAATTATTTGGACTCAATTTTTAACCATTTACACTATTGTTATTAGTTCTTCCATTTGATTTTTGTTAAATTCATCTTCAAATTCTTTTACCCATCCAGCATTTTTATTATAGTCTTTCTGAATTTTCTACAGATTTTTCTGAAACTGGATTGTTTCTTTTGTTGTTGTTGTTGTTGTTTGGTTTGGTTTTCCATTTCCAGAATTTCTATTGCCATTTACACTTTGGTAAAATCGCCTCTGGTGTGATTGAGAGGGGAGATTTTGCTTAAATTGGGTGATTCATGCCTCATAACATTCAAAATTCCTTATGATTGCTATTATTTGTTGCTTTATGAACTCCACAGTTTCTTCATTTTTTCTGGTGCTAAATCAATATTTTTTTTTAAATTAGGCTTTCCTAATTCTTAGATTCTTCCTTCTTTTGGTAGTTAAATGTTTAACTGTTCTTTAAATTACTCATATCTGATTCTAATTTCTATTTTGTCCTCCAGTCTAATTTTCAGCTTTGAGGATGATGATGATGATGATGATGGCTCCTAAGCAGCTGAACCACAGCAATCCAATCTCTAATCTAATCTAATGCATTTTATTTATTTATTAAATGTATGTGCCACCCATCTCTCTCTGAAAAACGACTTTGGGCACGTTGTGCAATTCCCACAAAAGTGGATTGGATTACGTTTGGATTATGCAGCAAATTATACTTTGGTTTACCGATGAATAGTAGCATTCTGGACCAAGGAATCTGATAATGTCATCAATTTTTCCTGCAGGAGCAGTTAGCAAAACCCACCCAATGCCATTAGGATCTATCCATATGTTATCCAGATCAGTCATAAAAGGAACCTGTTGTTTATTTATTTCTTTCAGGCACTGGGATTGTAGATTTTGGCTTCCTGTCTCCTAAGGGAGAAAATACTAGGTCTATAAAAAAGATCTGAATGTTCCAATTTGTTCTGTTTTTCTCACAGAGGACATTGTTGCACGTGACTTGATAGAGCAAATGATAAATATGGATCCTCAGAGACGGCCTTCGGCCAACTGTGTCCTGAAGCACCCTTTTTTCTGGAGCCTAGAGAAGCAGCTTCAATTTTTCCAGGTTGGTCATGATTTTTTTTTTCCTGTCAGCTATTCAACTTTTCATACTATAAATCTGAACTACATTATATTCAGAAATACAGAGATTTGAATGGCAGTTGGGACTGGGATTGCCGTTGCTAAGTGATGCGATCAAAAAGCAGGATGTCATCTGACCACATTGCTTAGTGACAACAATCCTGGCAGACCCCCAGAAATTCCTATTTTTTTTTGTGAAAGCAGTTCAGACTGCTTGGAAATCTATATTTAAACTTTCTCTTAGGGTGAAAAATACAGTTTCATCTATAAATCAATACAAGAAGTGTTTATTGTTATGTTGTATGTTAAGCTGGGTTGTTAGGTTTGTTACGTTATGCTATGTTTGTTATGTTGTCGTGTTATCATAGTATATGCTTTATAGTGCAGATCAAACTCTTTCTAACTTTTTTTAGCAATTAAGGAGCAAGGGCCATGAACTAGAATTATTTCCTTGCCTGCCCTGATCTCAGGGCCACCTTTGAACTAAAACACCCATTGATTCAACCACAACATTTGAGGCCCTGCTGCCAGCTGCTGAATGCCTACCTGCCCTTTGGAGCAAGGAGGGTGTCTGCAGGGCAGGTCTCTTTTTCAGTTTCTGCTCCTTCCTCTTGAGTTCATGGCCATGAGCTTTATCAAAGCATAGATCATATAATGGGGGGAGGAAAATACCCAGGGATGTAGTGAAAGCAACCACAGCATCTTTTTCTTTGCCCATTGGAGGAGCTTTTGAGGTGGGAGCCCACGTAAGCTGGAGCCAAACTTGATGGGCTATAAATGTCTGATATTCATTGCAGGATGTGAGTGACCGGATAGAAAAAGAATCACTGGATGGTCCAATAGTGAAGGAGCTGGAGAGAGGAGGAAGAGCTGTGGTGAAGATGGACTGGAGAGAGCACATAACCGTCCCGCTACAGACAGGTTCAACTTTATTTTCCGTACTTTCAGAATTACTGTATCGTTTATCTCGAATGCAAGAATAGCTCTAGTTCGTTCTAAATGTCTTAATTTGAGTGTTTCTTTGCAGATCTTCGAAAATTCCGGTCCTATAAAGGGGGCTCAGTAAGAGATCTCTTGCGGGCAATGAGGAACAAGGTATGTGTGTTTTGGGATTGCTGATTGTTTCTCGGATGCGCCTCAGGCTTCTAAATATGGAGAGACATGCTGAGATGTTGATTCATTGTCATAGCTCCCTCACATATTCACATCAATTGCAGTTTGATTGCAATTACAGTGGAGCTAAATCATGTGCATTCTAAAATTTATATTTGAATAGAGCAGGGCTAAATATATAAGTTGCAGAAGATTGATTAAATTAGAGGTCCCCAGGCCGCAGCCCAATACCATAGCCCATTCGGAACTCGGCTGTGGAAGCGGCGGGCAAGCACAAGCATGCGCGCACAGCTCCATGTGTCAGCAGAGGGTGTGCATGCCTGCACAAATGGAGCTGTACATGTGAGCTTGCCCACTGCTCGTGTGGAACCATCCCCTCTCTCCCCCCGCTAGTCCGCAAAGCCGGAAAGGTTGGGGACCACGAAATAAAAAAATCTTCCAATATTTAATGTTAATATGAAAGACAATTTCCTGAAGTGACTATGGGCAACAGCTCTAAGAGAAGAGGATGTACAAGTAGTGCTTGCTTGACGGCTCGCTTAGCAACCATTCAAAGTTGCCTCTCCAGAGCTACTTTCGACCTGTTTTTGAAGTTCCAACAACCGCACCCACACCTTGCCATCACATGATTACATTTTGGGCACTTGGAAACCGGCTTGCATTTTACAGCCATTTGCAGCATCCTGCAGTCACATGAGCATGCTTTTTGGCTTTTTTTTGGGCAGTTTCTATCATTGACTTCCAGTTTTCAGCAAACGACGTCCATTGGTCACAATGACCACCAACCTTGCTTAACAGCCACAGCGTTTTCTTAGCAACCACTGCGGAAAAGATTATAGAATCGGGCGTGGTCACTTGGTGACCCACCTAATGACCGTCTCATGACTTACGACAGGGGTCTTCAAACTTGGCCCTTTTATGACTTGTGGACTTCAACTCCCAGAAATCCTCAGCCAGGCATGCTTCGCTGAGGAATTCTGGGAGGTGAAGTCCACAAGTCATAAAAGGGCCAAGCTTGAAGACCCCTGACTTAACGATCATAATTCCGAGCTCAATTATGGTCATAAGTCAAGGACTACCTATATTGTTTCCTGCACAGTTTTCCCCATGCTGCTATTTGTGACAATGGGGAAAACGTTGATCTCTTTCCTAGCAGGGTAAATAGCAGTTGCCAAATATCTGATTTAGATGATTAAAAATGGCGGTGGACAAAAAAAAAAAAACAAAGGCTTATTTTTTCAGTTAAAAAAAAAAAAAACCTGGAAAGTCAAAGGTTTCTCCTATCTTGGATACCCTAATCTGAGGAAAATGCTCGGTAGAGTAATAATAAGCAGACTATTACAAATGATTACATTTTAAAAATACAGATTTCTTCTCAATCCAAGAGAGCATGTGCTACCCTTGTCCCTTTCTTCCTGTTCTTATAGAAACATCACTATCGAGAATTGCCTCCCGAGGTACAGGAGACTCTGGGATCTGTCCCAGATGATTTTGTGGCCTACTTTACCTCACGTTTTCCTCATCTCCTGCTGCACACTTACAGTGCTATGCGCATCTGCTGCCTGGAAAGACTGTTTCAGCCTTATTATATGCAGAACTCGGCCAGGCAGCTGTTTTTGGGAGATGCTGTTTGACGGTTGGAGTCGTCTTACACATTACAGGGCCGAGCACAATCTGGCCTGCCTTAGCAGGGTGACTTGACAGACTGCAAAAGAGTGAACCGAACCAAACCAAACTCTTCTGAGACACAGACTTCTCAAACGTGCCTTGTACTCTGCCTGCTCTGACTCAGGAAGAAAATTCCAGGTTGAATTTGAATCGAAAGGAGACGGAACAGTACCAGGACCCAGGACTCTAAAGCAGGAGCAGTCAAAAGAAATTCCCAAGAGGAAAAACGAGGTGGGGTATCCCCCATCTCAGCTTGTGATTTCAAAGAGACCCCTGTCGTGTAGGGTCTTCTAATACTGGCATTCAGGCCTTTTTACTGCACAGAATGTTTTTTTTTTTTTAAGGATTGATACGATAACATTGCCAAGCACCTTTTGGATCTCAGGAAGGATCCTTTTAACTGTAGCATGCTGTCTCTGTTCCACATTGTATCACTGCTAGCTTGTGTACTTGAAGCAGATAGGAAATAATTTGGAAAGGGCAGGTGGGGTAGCTCAAATATGCCAGATCCAATAGAAAACATGTGCCTCATCCATCACTACCACCCCTGTCTTGGTCTCCAAATACATTTGGGCAGATCTTAACTTGTCCTTGCAATCATAAATAGACAACTTTGGTACAGAGCTACTAGCTTGCGGATATGGAATCATAACGTTAAACTCTACATAGCTGGTGAAAATTATTCCAATGCTATTTCAGGTTTCTTTTCAAGAACGTGAGTAGTTAGCTGTGTAATTGAAATGCAAGAATTGACAAAAGTGCTTTATTTCGTTTGTCAGATTAAGACTGTAATCGTAAGCTCTGTACTCTTCCCGGGAGTGCTACTGCAGGGGTCCCCAACCCCTGGTCCGTGGACCAGTACCGCCGCAGCATGCCAACAACCAGTCTACACAAACAAGCAAAGCCCCATCCACAAGATGCAGGCAGCACACAAAACCACGCACCCTCCAGTCCACGGAAAAGCCTCTCTCCATGGAACCAGTCCCTGGTACCCAAAAGGTTGAGGGCTTCTGTGCTACTGAATTCAGTGGGGCTTGAATAGACAAGTATAAGATTGCACTGTAAGATTTTCACCCAAATGAACAGTTAGTAGGGAGGAAATAGATTTGGGTATAAATTACCCTTTAAAAAGAATAGGGAAACCAGGCACATGCTTACTGGGGTCCTGTTTAGGTCATTCAAACCCAGTTTTCTTTACGCACAGGCTCTTGTGGGAAGCTAAATGAATGGATTTGCTTCCCATGCTGAAGGATGTGGTTTTTGTTTCCAGTATCTTTAAAACTAGGATGTGTAGTTTATACGTGCAGAGCAAATAAGAATCTCCAACAGCGTGCTCCAAAGGTGACCTATTTGTAATGCTCTTTTACAAAATATTTATTTTATGTATTTATATTTATTTAATTTTTATCACAAGTTAGTACCGCATTGAAAATGGTACAGGTAAAACATGCCAAATTACTCTTTTTCTAATAAAAACAAAGCCCTCTTCAGGGTAGTAATTGATTTTTAAAAAATTAAACACGGAGAAGGAAAACCATAGAAAACATTTTTTTCCATTGTTCATTTTCATTCAATCTAGATAAAAATGTTTTAAGATGAGGAGGTTTTTAATCTGCATTCCTGTGCTGCTTGTTGTTAAATTAGTAAATTATGAATGGCTAATTGTATGATCGGGCATTAATAGGGACTTGGTTTCTGCTTTGTCTTTTGTCCTGTTTATTTTGGGCTTTATATTACAGGGAGATTTTTTTTCCTAGTTTTAGGATACACAATGAATATTAAGTAAGGTATCCAAAGAGAAACATTACAGGATTTCAAAGCTGGAAAATAATGATAGTCTTAACCTAACTTAATTGAAATCATATTTTTGTAGTTCTATTTGTACAGGACTTTTATATTTCTTCTGAATAAGAGCTTCACACAAATCAAGAATAAAAGTAGATTTTGAAACAGTTGTATATTGTCCTTTATTTCAATTTTCTGTGCACAACTTCCTTTTCATCTGAATGAAGGCTTTGAGACCCTTTTTTCCCTATACTTTTTTGTACCTCTATTACTAAGAATGAAAAACATTCTTCTTATATATGTAGTCTTTGCAAACCAAAGTCCTGACCAAAATTTGACACAACTTCAAACTTCAAGATTGAAACAAATGGCTGGAGAATAAATCAACCATTACATTGCTTTTCTGATTCATGTGCACTATATACAAGGAGCAGACACTATGGAAAATTACACCAACATCTGTACGTTTCTGCACATAAGTGTATTGCAAAATTTTAATCCCATTATAATGTATTCTTTTCGGACCATAGGGAAGAGGCTTATGCAGGAGTTTAAATTTGGTAAAGGACTGTTTTAAAAGGTAACACTGTTGCTCCATTTTGAAAAGAAAAAAAAAAGTCCAAAATCACAAATGCCTAAGACCTTCATTTGTCTCAACCAAAACTGCATTAAAGAGTCAAGTTCAACAAAAATATTTTTTAAAATAATCAAAAGAGCTCTTAAAACCTCCATTTCCATAATATAAAAATTGGCTGTTACGTACAGCTTCTGGAATATCTAGTTCATAGCTTCAAATCTGTTGCATGGAATACTGTGTTCATCTGGATATTTGATTATATAATAATGTTTTTATAATCATCATTCCCAACAGAGCCAAGATATGCAAAGGTCATGTATATTCCCCTTATTTCCAGAAGAACTCTCTAAATTATGGGCCAGGGCTTATCAGGATTGTGTGTAGCCCCATCCAGAACTCAGTTGAAATAGGAAACTCTCCAGTTGCCAGAGTTGACTACCCAACATGCATTGACGCTCAACCCTAGTAGGGTTGAGTCAATGCCTATCCTCCATCCAGCTTCCCTTAGCTTCAAGATGCTGGGGCTGATCCTTCACAGCCTCCCTGGGTCATCCAGATTGAAGATAAACAATTATCATCAAGCATACTGAAGATACAGCACCTCATGTTAATGGATGACTTCCCACAGTGACTTCACATAGAGATGCTCAAAAGAAGCATCTCTGTGACACACCTCAAACCAGAGTGGGGAGACCACGGTTCTGAAGGAGGAAAAATAGCCACAACACATTGTGGCTCTCATTGTGTACTGATGGCATGTTCCTTCCTCAAAATCATACCAATCTCCTCCTTTAACTCTGCATTTTAGTCTACTCTGCATTTTTCTACTTCTTTTAAAGCTTGGTACACAGCTTTTTCTAAGACCATGTATCACCACTTCATGATAATATTCTTCTGCATCCTCTCCTGAAATAAATAGCAATAGCAATAGCACTTAGACTTAGGTACCACTTCACAGTGCTTTACAGCTCTCTCTAAGCAGTTTACAGAACCAGCATATTGACCCCAACAATCTGGATTTTCATTTTATCGACCTGGGAAGGATGGAAGTCTGAGTCAACTTTTTTTTTTTTTATTAAAAATTTTTAAAAGTTTTTACAAAAAGGAAAAAACACAACAACAACAAAAAAACAAAACAACCCTCCCCCACCCACCCCCGAACCACCCCCATTCCCCCCCCCCGAACTTCCCAGAGCTGGATATAGGCTTAATTAAATTTTTTAAAAATCTTAAAGAAATTGAAAAAAATATAAATCATAAGTATATCTAAATAGCTTACATAAACAACTTATAAAATGATTTACAAAAAAGTGTATATAAGAAAAAAGCATGAATATATAAAAAAATAGAAAAAGTACTTCAAAGAAAAAAAAGATAATAATAATAAAAAAAAGAAAAAAGGAGGAAGGAAAGAGATAAAAAAAAGTACAATCTATAAAATATCAAAATTTATATACAAATTATTTAAAAGCTAAATGGTATTTTTTTATATCCAATTTATATTGTATGAAATTTATCCATTTTTCCCATATGGCAAAAAATTTCTCTTGCGATTGCTCCTTTAAAAAAGCCGAAATCTTTGCCATTTCCACCAAATAAGAAACTTTAAAAAACCACTCTTGCAAAGTAGGCAAAGATTCCTTCTTCCAGTATTGCCCTACTAACAGCCTTGCGGCTGTAATCAAATTTAACATCAATATAACCTCCTTAACATCACAATCAGTAACAATACCTAACAAAAACAATTGTGGAGTGAATTTTACCCTCTTTCTAAAAATTCTTTGAATATTCCACCATATCTTAATCCAAAAAGCTTTTATATTTTTACACAACCACCAAATATGATAATAAGTGGCATCCAAACAACCACATCTCCAACATTTAGGCTGTAAGTCAGGATACATAAGAGACATTTTTTTTGGATCAAGGTGCCATCTATAAAACATTTTATAAAAATTCTCCCTTAAGTTCTGGGCTTGTGTAAATTTAACATTCCTCACCCAAATAGTTTCCCAGGTATCCAGTAGAACTGGTTCACCAAAATTTTGAGCCCATTTAATCATACAATCTTTGATTAATTCTGATTCTGAGTCCAGTTCCACTAGAACCCCATAAATTCTCTTAATATGAGTTCGCCTTTGATCCTTTACTTGTTTAACAAAATTTTCATCTTCTCTAAGCAAGCCCATGTTACGATCCATCTTCCATCTATCCACTATTTGTCTGTACTGAAACCATGAATAGGTAATATTTTCTTGTGCTAATTCTTCCAAAGATTTTAACTGCCAATTTTGACCATCCCATCTAAGTAATTGTGTATAAGAAACCCTATCCATCTTAACTCCTCTCCTTATCGCCTCTATCGCATGCCCAGGTATAGCCCATAATGGTATTTTAAAATCACTTTTATAATATTTCCTCCAAATCCGAAGTAGAGAAATCCTTATAATATGAGATTTAAAAACCCGATCCACTTTTTTATTAAAAATTAAATAGGCATGCCATCCAAAAAGTAAATCCCAACCCTCCAGATGGAGTATTTCTACATTTGTTAAATTAACCCAATCACTAATTAGTGTTAAAGCCACAGCATCATAATATAATTCAGATTCGGTACCTTGAATCCACCTCTCTCACGGAAGTCTTGCATAATTTTAAGCTTTACCCTTGGTTTTTTCCCTGCCCAAATAAATTTGTTAATGCCTTTCTGCCATTCATTTAAATTAACCTCATTCTTTAAAATAGGTAACATTTGAAATAAAAAGAGAATTTTTGGCAGGACATTCATTTTAATCACTGCAATTCTTCCCATAAGAGATAACTGTAACTTCTCCCAATTCTTCAAATCTTTCTGTACCCTGACCCACAGCCTTTCATAATTGTTTTTATACAATTTTACATTAGAAGCAGATAGAGTGACCCCCAAATATTTTATCTTATCAACAACTTCAAAGTCTGTCAAATTAACCAAAATCTGCTTGTCCAGATTGGTCATATTTTTAGATAATATTTTAGTCTTACTATTGTTAATTTTAAAACCCGAAACCCGTCCATATTGGTAAATCAATTGTAATAACTTTACTACAGAATAGGTAGGTTGGGACAAAGTAACCACCAAGTCATCTGCAAAAGCTCTTAATTTATATTCTTTTTTGTTAACTTCTATTCCTTTTATTTCCTGCGACTCACGAATTTTAATCAACAAAATTTCCAAAGTTAAAACAAACAGTAACGGTGACAATGGACATCCCTGTCTTGTACCTTTCTCTATTGTAAAAACCTCTGACAAACCCCCATTAACAATAAGTTGTGCCGTTTGTTTTTGATATATAGCACCAAAAGCTTGTAATATTTTTTCTCCAAAATTCATTTCCTCAATTAATCTTAACATAAACTGCCAATTCAATTGATCAAAAGCTTTTTCAGCATCTAAAAATATCAGCCCTGCAGAAATTTGGTTATTCTTATCTAAATATTCTAATAAGTTAATAATTTGTCTAGCATTATTCTTCATATACCTACCAGTTATAAAACCCGATTGATTCTTATGTATAAGCTGATGCAGAACCCTCATAAGCCTATTAGCTAAAATTTTTGCAAAAATCTTATAATCTATATTTAAAAGAGATATAGGCCTATAATTCTTTGGTAAAGTGAGATCTTGATCCTCTTTTGGAATCAAAGATATAAAAGCTCTGTGCCATGACGAAGGAATCTCTGAACCCTGTAATATATTATTAAAAAGCTCACATAAAGGTTGAACCATCTCTTCTACCAAGGTTTTATAGTAAATAGATGTCAAACCATCCGTACCCGGCGCCTTACCTAATTTTAATTGCTTAATAACTGTCACAATTTCCTCATTGGTAATTAAACCATTAAATTCTTGTTTCTGATCTTCTGTTAATTTGGGGAAGTTGGCTTCACTTAGGTAATTATTTATATCTAAAATTTGTACATTAGTACTCTTATATAATTTTTGATAATAATCTAAAAAAGATTTCTTAATCAACTCCTTCTGATACACTAATTTACCATTATAATTTATTTTATCTATAAGTCTCTGTCTCTGTTTCTTTCTTAATTGATAAGCCAACCATCTCCCTGGTTTATTAGCATTACAAAATGTATTTTGTTTCATAAACAATAAATTAGTTGCAGTTTGATCAGCCATCAACATGTTAAATTGTGTTTTTAGCAACTTTATAGATTCTTTAACCTTTTCATCTGTAGGATTTAAAATCAAAGACTTTTCTTTTGATTTAATCTCATCTTCCAATTCCTTACGTTTCTGGATCTGCTTTTGTCTATGGACATTATTCATTTTTATCAGAATCCCACGCATAAAAGCTTTACCTGCATCCCATACCATTGATATTGAAGTTCCCTTATGCATGTTTAAAGCAAAATAATCCTTTAAGCACTCCTTTAATTTTTGAACATTCTTTTCTTGTCTAAATAAGTTCTCATTCACCCTCCACGATCTCCTCTCCTCTTTTTCATCAGCCAGTTCCAACCAAACTGGACTATGATCCGTCAACGACCTAGGAAAGATTTTTACATTCTTTACCCTGATATATAAGTCAGTTGTA